AAACATTGTTACAGTCCCCCAAAACTTTTACCTTAAACTGTCTGCCGTGGACCTCACCCCATTCCTAAGAGGTCTGTAAGGGGGCGTGCATAAGCGCACCAGCATGCCTACCGCCCCTGTCCTACTGTCCCCATTTATTCGTACTCATTTCCTGTGTTCATGTCCATGTTTATACTTATACCTGTTTTTTCATGTCCATGTTATACTTATACCTGTTTTCTCATACATATTTGACAAACTAAATAAATAAAATAAAACAAAACATAGCTCTGCAGCCTTGTGTGGAGAGCTCAAAGGAGTATGGGGTTGGTTGGTGCCATAAGAGCCCTTCCTTGAGCTTCATAAATCAATTTTTAACAGGATTAAAATTGCCTCCTCAAATATTTTCTTGTCTCTTCAAAAATTTTTATAATTGTATAATCTTTAAAAATTATTTTTAAATTTTAAATTATTTTAATTCTCATATATTGTTTTATATTTTGATACTGTACTGTATATCACCCAGAGTCCCTCTTTGAAGAAAATGGGTGGTTCAGAAATGCCAAAATATAAATAAATATAAATATTGCAGTTACATCCCCCTCCCATCACCCAGAATCTGCTGCCTGAGCATAAAATACTACAAAGTTAAAGGAGTCATAGTTGTTCTTGGTACCATTAATGTGGCCCCAGGGTTGGGGGTGAGGAAAGGATGAAAGGATGTGAGATCTCTGAACACTGCTGGATAAGTGTCCAGTCTTACAAAATGGAAACATGCTTGAAATAGCTTCTCCATAGATTGCCTCTATCTAATCTCGGAGTTAGCCTCCTTGCTCCAGTCACTTCTCACAGCAGCTGATAGGCAAGATCTGTTGAGTGCAGAACCTTTCAGCAAATGACCTAACAGCTTGCAGTTGTCTCACTTCCTGCATCTAATCAGAGCTTCTTAACGGAGAAATATTTCTTCAGAGGGGTGTCTGGTAATTAGCAATAGCATAACAGTCCTCCTTGGGATTTCATACAAACCCATGTAACCTGAGATGGAATTCTCCATCCATAAAACCTTTGTTTCCCACCTGGTATGCTGCCTTCTTTAAAGATGTAACTGCTGTGATTTTAAGGTGCTATATTTAATTTGTGTATTACCAATATTTATTATATGCATTGCATTTATACCCAAGCCTTCCTGTTGAGAGCTCAAGGTCATTTATATGGATTTTTCTCTAATTTGATCCTCATTACAATAACCTTGTGACCTATGTTGGGAAATAATGACTGGCTCAAAATCACTGAGTGAGGCCCATAATAAAGTGAGACTAGAACCAGTCTCCAAGTTTTAAATGGAATACCCTAACTAGCACTGCACATTTAGTATACATAGCAGGGGTGGGTTCTACTTACCTTTACTACCGGTTCGCAATGGGGCCGAGCCTGCACGCTCTTCTGCGCATGCGTAGAAGCGTTCTGATGACGTTGAGGTTGGTGGGCGGAGCCTCCCACCAGTTTTACAACCGGTTCTATAGAACCAGTGCGAACTGGGGGCAACCCACCACTGATACATAGGTATAGTATACATGTGTCATTCTCTCTATATATACCCAATTACCTTATGTAAGGTTTCTGGATTTCTCAGATTAACTATCTGCTGATGTTTATGCCACTGCTAATATAGAGACTGATGTAAAATGTAGCATAGAACAAATATATCAAAGGATATATTCCCAACAGATTATCCTCAGAAAGGATATAAAATTGGCATTATCTGAGATGAAATATTTAAAGTTAATCATTGATCATAAATATGCTAAATGCATTCATTTATTTGCTTGGCTATCCTTATATTACTTTAAACCCATCATTAATTTACATATATACTCATGCAGTATATAAGCCCATCTGCAGATAAAGTGAACCTGATTTGTTAGGTACATTTTGGCACCTAAAATTCCTGGCTTATTCACAAGTTTATAAAAATAAAACCTCCAGGAGAGTTTGAAGGCCCATCTCCACAATCATTTAACCCAATGAAATTAAAAGACTACCATATATAACTCTCCTATTCCTATTCAAGTTTCACCCCAACTGGAACATTAATTATAGCTTTATTTGATTTTCGGACAATACTATCTGCTACCATAATACCTTAACAAATCAGCATAGGCCATATATTTTATTTTATTAAATGTAGAGCCAACCAATCTCTATAACCCTCAACACATAGAAGCAAAAGGACATTCACTCTTTCAAGTCTTGTCAACATTGTCCAATGTCAAACAAGTAGCCATGATGAGCATTAAGCCACTGTGCTTATCTCAATGTTGTTGGCTGCCACTAATTCATTTTGTCATTTAAAATATAGCAGCAGTTATGTCAAATCTACTTATTGGGAAATATTTTTTTTTGTTGAACTCCCTAACAGGGAGAACAAAGTGCAATCTCAGGATTGTTTGCAGGTCACCTATCAGATATCAAATCTTACTGGGGTCTCTGCTAGACAAAGGTCTACTCTAAATAATAATACATTTTCATATTCACACAACTGGGAATGTTTCTAGAGTATGTTTCCCCCCCTCTCATTCAATTGTGTCTGATGCTTTGAAACATCCTGGACAAGTCCCTCTATAGTTTTCTTGGCAAGGTTTTTCAGAAGTGGTTTGCCATTGCCTCCTTCCTAGGGCCAAGACAAACCTATCTGGCTTCATGCCCAAGGAAGGACTAGAACTCACAGTTTCCTAGTTTCTAGTCTGATGTCTTCACCACTACACTATAATGGTTCTCTAGAAGTTGTTTAAGTTTAAAGTCTCTAAAAGCTTTCAAAGGAAAAGAGTTTTTTCAGTAGTCCCATGTGTATTAGTTTATACATACTCACTAATGCTACCCAAACATATTAAGGAATTATCCAAAGTGTGTACCCACCATTTATAAATTTGTTAATTTACCTACAAATTAGAAGGTGGAATTAATACCATTGGTTGAATGCCAAAAAGCACTTCATTTTTCCATCTGGACATCCCTTTTCCTTTGGCACAGAACTTTCTTGGCAGCAGCTAGTGAGTTTTTAGCAACTCCCAAACCACAGTGCAAAGCAGTGGTGAAATCCAATTTTTTTACTACTGGGTCTGTGGGTGTAGCTTGGTGGGCGTGGTGTGGCTTGGTGGGCGTGGCAGGGGAAGGATACTGCAAAATCTCCATTCCCTCCCCACTCTGGGACCAGCCAGAGGTGGTATTTGCTGGTTCTCCGAACTACTCAAAATTTCCGCCACCTGTTCTCCAGAACCTGCTGGATTTCACCCCTGGTGCAAAGCCATCCTTCAGCAAAATACAATTCCTGTTAAAACTCTGTATCACGGCATTGTCATTATTTTATCCTGTGCTGCTTATCTCTTTGCCTTTCTTTTGGCATTTAGATAACCTGAAAACTCATAATATATGCTTTGCTGGAGTAGAAAAGACGCAAATATTTTCCATTGTAATGAACACTACTTCATAATTCAGCAACTTTATCCTAATATTTAGTTTTTCTCTCTCCCCCCCCCCTCTCGCTTTATCAAGCAAAATCAGAATCACAGCTACAGTATGGTTGGGTTTGTATCTGGACCCTGAGATTGCTAGAGGCATATCACTGTGGGATCCTTTTCAAAAAGCTACCTTCTTGGTAGGTATTGAGGCCTGCCAGAGGTTGAAACAATGACAAAGGTGGATGAACAGAAGCTTCTCATTTAACCCATTTTTAAAGAATGGCTTGGAACTCAAAGTCTTGTGCTGCCTCAAGAGCGTCTCTCTCTCTCTGCCTTTGTGATTGTCTGACAATATAGGGTAAAAATAACCAGCCTGCATCGGCAGAGAGATAAAAGTTTGCCTTTTGTGTCTCTATGGGCAGTAGGATAGCAGCACCAATGGAGCTGTGTGGATATGACACATGGGAATTTCTGACATATCTCTCCCTATCCTGACCTTGACAGGCACAATAAAAAGGGGCCTCAAAGCACACACACACAGAGTCACTCAGCCCCATAGCCCAGGTTGGTAATAAAAAGCATGTCTGTGTTGCACGTCTGTCCTGTCCTGAAGCCCTGCTTTCCTTAGTGCATTCTTTTTTTTATATAAAAAGGGAAGTAGAGGAACATGAACTATTGTCTGGAAGACAAACTTGGGATTCATAATATGGCTAAAGGGACTATGACAAGAATGTACGCTTATGAGGTGTGGAAAGTCATGGGTGGCAGCAGGTGCAACTGAAATTGTGACGGTTTCAGTACGAATGTGTGGATGTGAAGATATTATCTGTTTTAATAGCAAGGCTTAGTAACAATAGCAATAGTTGGGGCTTATAAAGTGAGTGATGTTAATAATCTTGTTGCAGTTACCATCAATTTATCTTAATAGTTCTGGGGAGTGTGTGATAGAACAGATTCATTGGCTGTCATAATATCTTGTAGTGTTACTTGCCACTGTGGTGACTTATCACACAGGATGCTAACTCAGTCAAATTCCTTTGAGGTGTAAGATGGCAGAGACATGAAACTAAGATAACTTACAGCCTATTGGTGGGGTGCTCATTAAATATAAATTGACCAACTAGTAATTTTTTCCTGGGATGCTGATTGTCTTTCAAATAAACTTAAAGTAGTTGCATCTTGGTTTGATTTTTGATGTTATACAATGGGCATACATTCTTTATTATTTAATATAATCTCACTACGCTTTCTGATTTTATATAGTTAAAAAGCACATGGAGTAATGATAGGAATTTTAAAAATGTATTATATAATTAAAATTAGCACATATATGTAGCTAGATTTATAATTTGGAATAAAATCTGATGCAGTGCATAAATATTAGAACACTATTTTTAATTTATAGAATATATAAATTTGCATGTTTCATATCATCCAGCTTTCATACCATCCCGCAATTAAAAGGTTGGTGAACCATTACAGGACAGATTAATGTGATTTGGCTATATTATTGACTAAAATGTATCTTGCTTTTGTTTTTTGTTTTGTCTTTTCATACTCTAGGGTATTTGGCTGACCTGTTTGCTGCTGACTAGGCTTTGTCCTTCCAATAGTCAATATGAGTAGGATGGACAGGGAAGAATTTGGGGAGGCTGCTGAGTTCCTCCGGAAAAGTTATGAGGAGATGATGAAGTATCAGACTATGGCATTTGATGGTAAGACCACCTTTTTTGCGTGGAAAGGACTTTTTCAACCCCATGAACCATTTCTAATATTGCTTCCTGGGTAGGAGAGTTCTGCACTTTTTTTTTATCCATTTAAAATGTTGAAGCTGATTATGGCCATAGAGATTGAGACAACTAGATTAACAGTTAAACAATTCTGCTTAAACAGCTTCTTCTTTAGTCATTTTGGTTGCAATGGAGAGTGCAGTAAAATGATTGTAGCTCCATCTTTATGCTATGTTGATGATTTGTCTGTTGCTATGCTATAATTATGTGAATTGTGAAGTGTTTGGTTTAGCATTTACTTGCTTTTAATTATATTTAGGAAAACATTCATTTAGGATGGTTTATAAACAGGTTTATAATTGCCATGAATGAGTTCAAATTTATAATCAACCGTTGAGAAATATGTACTTGAGATTTGCATTTATCACAGCAACTACAGGACAAATGAAATGTATATAATAAGCAAGTGCACAAAGTATGAAATGGAATTTCTTGCTTCCTAAAATATTGAAAATATTCTATTGAGAATCATATATTCAAAGAATTGGAGCCTTCAAGTTCAATTTGTATGCACGATACAGGAATCCAAATGAAGCATCCCTTATGATAGTTGTTTAGCCTCAAAATGTATTGCTAAGGAAGTTGTTAGACATCCAACAGATAACAATTTATAGTCGGGATGGATACTAGATTCTTTACATATACCTTTCTACCCTGACATTATCATATGAAACAGCAGTTACCTCATTGCCACTGCCATTGCCACTGCTTACAGGAGTGATCTGGCTTACATTACAATAAATAGCAAGAGTTATACATAAGAAAAGGAGGAAAATCATGCTATTGTTCATCCCCAAATTTTCCATTTGACTGATTCTTAAAAGGAAACATATCATATATAAATTAAAAAAACAAGTGGATAAATATTCCTGGAAAAATTCTAGGAAAGCTTGCTATCTTTGGGCATCTCTTGAAACTGTGATTAGAAATTGCATGAATGGGACGTTTAGACATTTCCATTTTGCAAAATTCTCTGCAATCATACATACAGCCTATTTAAGTCCCATTGAAGTAAATAGGATTGATGCAGCCTAAATATGTTCAGGATTGCAATCAGTGGCCATCCATTTTTAGTCACTTTATCCAAGCAAATGCATGTTTGCTTTTTGTCAAATATGGAAAATGACCTTTCAAGATGTTGTTGATGGATGAGAAATGCAGAAAGAGCATGCTTTTAGTTGCCTTAAAAGACATTTTCCTCTTGACTAGATTCTAATATTGCTCACCATTGATTTCATTTGCTGATATTATACAGAATTTTATATATAGAAGCCACACACTTCCTTCTGATAGAGATTAAAGAATGCTAAAAATTTGAGTTACTACAAAATTAGACCTTAAGATTGTTGAATATTTTACCCAATCTTCCTTATTTAGCCACATCTTCATTTTTTGCAATTATTTTTTAAAATTCTAATATATATATTTGAGCAGACAATGATTAATCAAAATATTGTAATTCAAAATTTTGCAGCGAATTTTAATTTCCAAAGTTTTAACATCTATTTATTTTAATTCTAGATCTAGAATTATTATATCAATAACAGAAAAATCAATTCCAAAATTAATAAGAATAAAGTAAACATAAACAAGTATTTAAATCACAGCATTTCCCCATTCAGTAACTGAAGAATTAAAGGAACAAGAATAATGTTATGCAAAATATATCTAGATCTTGTAAAATAATTATGTATGGCACCTGCATTATCTGAATCTAATATCTATTTGTACAACTTTTTAAAAAAATGTTTACGTTCTTCTTGTCTCTTTTGGGGTTCATAAAGGAAAGAAAAGAGCCTGGATTCCAGATGAGAAGGAGGCTTTTATTGAAATTGAAATTAAAGAATCCTCTGGTGGCAAAGTCACAGTGGAAACCAAAGATAGAAAGGTAAAAAATATATATATATCCAACATACCAAATAATAACCAAATAGGAAACTGAAAAGGAAAGTTACATTGGCTCAACATTGTGCAAAGGCTAGAAAATACAATATGCTATGCTTTCTTTTCAATTCCATTAGTTTTATCAAATTATACAGAAAAAAGCTATCTCCTAAGCTGTATTTATTTGGTGTGTTGTGTTAAATTTATCTATTTATAAAATTTATTGGCCACCCATTTTACCATAAGGTAACTCTGGGCATCTTACAGTTACATATAAGCTAAAACATAAAAAGTTAAAACCAAACATTAAAACCAAAGATACATAGGGGAGGGCAGGGACGGAGTTTGGGGGGGAGATGTGATCTGTTATTACTCAACCATCTCCATTGCGTTGTTCCCCCACTGGAGTCCCAAGCTAACTGGCAAAGCCATGTCATTATTAGGCTCTTACAGATAGTTAGGAGGGTTGGAGCAAACCTCACATCGGGGGACAAGATATTCCAGATAAATGATATATTAGAACAAGTAATTATATTTTCTAAATTTACATTTTAGCACCAAAATGCTTGTATAAAATTATGTTATATTTTGTTCTGTATAAGGGCTGCTATTACTTAGAATAGGAATATTATTAATTGAAAAATTTCCATTTTTTCTTTTTAAAGCAATGTTTTAAAGCAAGTTTCATTATTCCTAAATTTGTCTAATAATTAAAAGAGCTTCTCAAATGGATAAGCAAGCAAGATAATGATAATGTATGACTATTTCTCCTCTGTTATAGCAGAGCTAAGGCCTAAACTTTGCCTTACAATTACCTGCTGAACCTCTGGTCTTACTTTGGTGTTTTAATTGTTTGAAATTAAATCTCCCTCAAGAAGAAAGATTGAGAGCCATTAATAATTAAACAACTGTTAACTCCAGGCTTGCAGCATGTATAAGGAAGAAACATTTATAAATATGTTTTGTATGAATAAGTATGAAATTTAATTGATGGAGTAAATTAATGTGTTAAATGGATATAGGAGAACAAAGAGTTCTGAAGTAAAATGTGTCTTTCAGATGAGAGGTGAGGTTGACCACATACAGATGTTCTTCATATATGAGACTAAATGGGGGAAATGCTCTTTTACAAAATTTGATATTTTAGTTTCAATACTTATCTGGCTTATGTATTTTATATGAACACGAAACGATACTCTGAAATAACTACCTGCCTTATGTATTTTCTACTCTGAAATATGAGGCACATACAGCAGTGTCTTTGCTGATCTTAATGGTTGCCCAGGTCTATAAGAGGGAAGTTCATCTAGCAGGAATCTTTGGGGTTTAGATGTCAAAAGTAAAAGTTGGATCTTCTTTTAGTTTTAAGATAAATTTACAAAGCTGTTTGGTGGTGGAAGCTTTCTAGGATTTCAGAGAGTGTTTTCACAGCCCTTTCTGGAGATGCCAGGGATTTAACTGGAGACTTACATGCAAAGCTGATAAGCTGCCAGGGAACAATAAAATGTTCTTCTAATGTGTTAGTTTCTAGTATCTTAATAAATCATCCAGATCAAAGAACAGTAGATTATTCATTTATTTAAAAGCAAGTAAATAAATATAAGATGTATAAATCTCTCTCCCTAGCTATGTGCATCTGAGTTCCTAACTATGTTTTTAACTACTAGACATTGCTGCCTCTATAAGCTACTACTGACAAGACTGTTTTCTTTTAATAAGAGTAGCAACATTTCTTAAATACAATTCATTCTAATCAGGCACAGTCATGTAATATGATAGTTATTCTGGTTCTTGGATTTATAGAATTATATACTTCAGCTGTTTATCTAAATATCACCAAACCTTCCTGTTTGAAACTCTGCAGAATATTATTTTGTTTAGGTTATATTTATCCACACAAACCCACAATGGCGGCAGCCACATTATACTATGGGAGCAACTGCATTGTAATTCAGGAGCCAAGGCAAGATTTGACTACTCAGTTCTTAAGACTCTGATCCTGAAAGTCAGTGGGAATTACTCCCATGTAAACTGATATAGAATTGGGTTGTTAGTGGATGCCTCATCAATTACTACTCTGCCCTCAAATATTTCCAGTCTAGCATTGGGGGTTATAAAATTAATATAAAACAATTATTTGAGTGGAACTAACTATCTGGTATCCAATGGTATCCACAGCTGGAGCCAAAGAAACTTAGAATGATCCAAGCACTATCACAACACAAGTCCTCCTCTTTTTCTAGATGGAATGTGACAAGGACCAGAGTTAAACCACTACACAATGGTGTAGAGTCTGCTTTAATCTGCTCCATGAACAAACTTCAGCTGGATTTCTGAGATCCATAAGTTCCCCCACTTTGTTCGTTTATTGTAATAGCATATCATATCAATATGATATTTTGATATTTTCCTTGAACACTGAGATTCTATAATATTTACAATGAGAAATGTTTGGCCAATAAAGAGTTCAGTTCTGTTCTGTTCCATTCAGTTCTTTCTTTATCTAATTTGCTGTTATATTTTCTAACTAGCTTAATTTCTTGTTTAATAACTAACATGTTCTGTTAATTATTAAAATTTAGGTTGTTAGTACTATTAAGGATTGAGAAACATTTATGAATTACTCTTTATTTAAAAGTTTCCAAGGTAGTCTATGGACCCAATAAAAACCACAATAGAAATAGTAAAGACAATGCTGAAATTTATCATAATAAGAGATAAATGTCAAAATGTTATCATATCTTAATGAATAGGTTTGTGGATTAGAGCCTACTTCATCAATTAATAGCTTCATTGTCATGTAAGTTATGTAATTTAACAGTTGCATGCTAGATCCTTAAGGATTTTCTTTGAGTTTATGGATCAGTACATAAACAGGATAGGTTCTTGTATTTTCATCAAACAATTTATTTGATTCCTCTAGACTCTTGTGGTTAAAGAAGATGATGTTCAAGCTATGAATCCTCCAAAATTTGACATGATTGAAGATATGGCTATGTTAACTCATCTCAATGAGGCTTCAGTCCTGCATAACCTAAAAAGGCGTTACACCAAGTGGATGATCTATGTAAGTTAGAAGGATAAACACTGTTGATTATACTGTATTGCATCCTGTGTGTGAAACAAGTTTTAGATTTATTCATTGTACCAAATAGTACGATTGTGTGTTACAAAACTCCCAACTGCTAACTTTAATTTCATTAGAAATAGTTATTTTTTAAAATCTTACGTATTTAAATCCTAGATGAATTCGAAATATGGTACTAGAATTGAAACATTTTACATTACTTGTTCTTTTTTAAACTACATCCTTATCAATAGGGCCAGAAAATGATTTAATACTGGTTCTGAGTTTTAGGGGGGTCTTGTGCAACTTTCTATCTTTGGACATTTTCCCAGAAAGGACCAACCTTTTCCTTGTAGCTGTCACTGCTACCCCTTCATTTTTGCACCCTCTTTAAGCAAAGGTGGTAATAAAAAGAATATGTAGTATTTTCTCACTTACTATTGTTTATTTGAAGAAACAGATGAACTGAACTAGGAGGTGGAACAGAGAGAATAAAAATCTCTTAAGAGTTGGCAATGTGCCCTCTACTGGAGTATGACCCTTGCATTTGGTTAATGAACTGTACTATTGGTGTCAGCCTGGTTTATTTTTCTCATAGCTATGCTGTTTCTTTCTTCTCAGACCTATTCAGGCTTGTTCTGTGTCACCATAAATCCATACAAATGGCTTCCAGTCTATACAGCTCCTGTTGTAGCAGCTTATAAAGGCAAGCGGAGGTCTGAGGTCCCGCCCCACATCTACGCCATTGCAGACAATGCCTACAATGACATGCTGCGCAGTAAGTGTCTAATCCAATTTTTACAAAAAATTGTGGGAAAGGAACTGAGCACCTGATTTAGTCCTATTCTTCACATTTCCCAGTTGGAGTCAATATGAAGGGGATTGTGTACCAATAACATCTAGAGAGCTATGAATTTTACACAATTGTTTTTCAACTTTTAATGCTTTTTAATAATGCCGGAGTTGTTCATCTCTTCATATGTACCTAACAGATCTAGTTATCTGAAAATAAAAATTCAGAAAGAAGAGAAAATGGTTTTTAGAGGTAGCACAGACTTGCATTAATAATTTATCTAAAGCAAAAACATGCAGTAGAATTCAGCAATTACTTCTATGATTTAAGAAAATCTTTGCCAAGGTGAAACTAGCTGTTGAATTTTGGGTCTCCCTGTGTCACAACCTATACTACTGACATGTTTAGTACAGGTAGTCCTCAACTTACAACAGTTTGTTTAGTCACCATTCAAAGTTATAACGGCGCTGAAAAAAATGACTTATGGCCATTTTTCACACTTACGACCATTGCAGCATCTCCATGGTCATGTGATCAATATTCAGATGCTTGGCAACCGACTCATATTTATGACGGTTGCAGTGTCCCAGGGTCATGTGATCACCTTTTGTGACCTTCTGACAAGCAAAGTTAATGGGGAAACCAGATTCACTTAACAACCATGTTACTAGCTTAAGAATTGCAATGTTTCACTTAACAGGTGTGGCAAGAAAGATCGTAAAATGTGGCAAAATTCACATAACAAATGACTCACTTAACAATACAAATTTTGGGCTGAATTGTGGTCATAAGTCAAGGACTATCTATATAGGAGTGGAATAAGTTATGTACCATTCCAGCTTCATTTCTCTACCCAAATGTTCTGAAGAGACTATATACCACTTCAAAATCTATTGAGAGGTTGGTAGATAGTGGCATACAGCTGTAACAGAAACATTAAACTAGAATCCTTCTCTTGGATGTGCTACAGATGTATTTTGGTTTTGATTATCTATGGTTAATCAAACTTAACATAAGCACTCCCATATAGATTCAGCTTTCTGAATCTAATATGCTGCCAGTATATCAAAAAGACTCTGAAACAAGCTCAACGCATGAGCAGATCTATTTAGTTTTACTTAAAAAGTATACATTTTTCTGTTTCCTTCTTCCAAGAAGTTTCTGACTTCTCTATCTAGTCTACAATCTAGTGGTGGGTTCCTCCAGGTTCAGCCCGGTTCTGCTGAGCCGGTAGCGGTGACGATATGACGTCACTGAACCAGTTCTCTTTGTTCGGGAGCTGGGCCCTCCCTCCCACATCCCACGTTATTCTTACCTTTTATTTGGCCCTGCCCCCAATCTATTCGCTGCCTCTGAGTCCCAGCTGATCGGCTGGAAGGAAAAAAACTATTTAAACTCTTGCCGCGGGGCTTCAAAGGGCCGCCCTACAGCTGATCAGTGTTAAAAGGCAGTGTGGTGGTAGACCAGTGCATTTGAAAAACAATGGGTAGACCAGGATGCTCCAAGAATAAATGGGTAGACCGGTGCCTCTAAAAACAAATGGACACTCCAGGACACTCCAAGAACAAATGGGTAGACTGGTACAGCTCTGCAAGCAGTTAAAAGCCTGGTAGACCAGTACCTCTTCTAAATCCTAAAGAATTGTCACATGACCATCAAACCACACCCACAAAATAAGCCACGCCCACAGAACTGGTAGTAAAAAAATTTAGAACCCACCCTTGCTACAGTCCTTGGATTTCCCAGAGATTTCTCACCCTAGTCTTAACTGATTCCAACCTTGCTGTTCTTTTTTTAATCACTTATGTTAGGTACAGCACCTGATACAAATGTTCAGTGCATCTCTTTCTCTCTCTCCCTCCCTCTCCCTCTCCCTTTCTCTCCGCCCTCATGTGTGTATTGAAATCTTCATCTTAATTTCTATGGTGAACATAAAAAATCTGCATAAGGACAGTTTTTTATGAGTCCCTTTGAATAGCTATTAAAATATGACCATACAAATTGAGTGTATTAGAAAGGACAATGAATCTAATCTCAAATTCATAGATTGAATCAGAAAGTTAAAAAAGAAAGATATCAGCTTGAATATGAATGGGCTGGTGTTAATGATACAAACTCTAAAAAGGATGACTTGAACCTTAATTTTTTTTTCTTTACCTTACAGATCGAGAGAATCAGTCTATGCTTATCACGTAAGTGCTGTCTCTTATCTATGCAATCGATATCTCATTCGTATGTGCTTTTGAGTTAAGTTCTTTTTGTCCTGTGGTTTCTATATGAAATCAATTCTAGGTAGATCAAGTTTACCATATCATCCTGTTGAGAAAAGAAAGCTGAATTGTTTGGGCAGGCTGCACAATCTTTGAGGAACATAATGATCTCTTCTTGCAACTCCCTATCCTCTTTCAGTTTGTTATCTCAAATTTTCTGGCTATTATATGTCAGCGAACAGCTGCTACTATTGTCTCAGGGGGTATACAGCCAACCAAAAGCAGGACAGCAAATTACTCAGTCTGTATGGTTGATCATCCTTCCTGTGTACATCATTTGTTTTGAGGGCAGCATGTCATTTAGGTATTCTGGGGAAGCATTTTCTGTGAAAAACCCCAATTAAAGAAATAAAATTCCATTTATATTATTCCATTTTTCATTCCATTTGGAATGAAAGTCTATCCATTTGGATAGACTGCCAGAAACATTGTGGTGGTCTATGATGAGTTCAATTGGAAGGTACACTGTTGAGGAATCTGAATTAGAGCAAGTCCACATCACTTTTGTTTCATTAAACAGAACTAGTTCAATGGCCATATCTTACCTGTTGCTTTCATCAACCATGATAAAATCCCTTGCACTAATGGACTACTAGATATGCCTTGGATGTTTGCACATTTGCCTTCCATACATGAACAAGAGCTTAAAATCAAAACTCTGTTAAATACCAGATCAAACTTACAGAGGAAACAACTGAAGAGATTAAGTACCAGTGGACATTAATGAAAGGGATTAATGAAAAAGAATTGTATGACTATGAATGACCACAATTTGTAGATAAGAGAATGCCTTTTTAAGAGATCTGAGTATGGGTACAAAAAGTCTATGAGACTAGTAGCATAAAAGGGAAAGAATAAGAAATCAAAGTTGGAGAATGAACAGTGGGCAGGAATTATGAGAAAAGGGGATCCTGGGAGAAATTAGGCTGAACCCCATTTGTAAAAAGAAAAAAAGGGAAGAAGTATTAACTGAAGCAGCCATGATGATGCTATAAAAAGCTTAATCTGCTCCCCCCCTCCCCAAGCTTCCAGCCTTGGCCATGGCCTAATTAGGTAAAGCAGGGGCTGAAAGCATGAGATGTTTGGCTCTAGGCCTGCAGAGACCTCACTCCTACCCCCACCTCAGTATAGCTCTTTGTGTGCTGGGATTACAATGGAAGGGCAGCTAACTTTAGGCATGAAATCAATGCCAGGCCAGTGCCATTGAACTTTATTGATAGCACAGAAGACGATCCCAGCCTAAGTGAAAAAAGATTCAATATCCTGCTGAGCTTGAGTTCCTCTCTTTGGAGAATTTAGTTTTACATGTGGTTGAACCAACCTTTCCTAGTTATCTCTTGAAATATAAAGAAGCTCTATGAGTCTACTTTTCATTCCTGAAAGCAATTAAAATAGTTTTCTATGTGTGAAGTATGAAGCTGTTTTGTGTAGAGCAGCAAAGGAAGTGGAATGTCTGGACTTCCTACAACAGAAAACTGTTTCTATTTAACACAAATTGATGATTAAACAGCTTGCATCCTAGCTTTTACTTTCTGGAAGAATGCTAAAATCTACAGGCTGAGTCAATCTTACCCATTTAGTCAACAGTTCCTGGGAAGGGATGGGAAAGGGAAGACTCATATCAATTGATGCCGCCTTCTTTCCTCTTGCTAGTAAATACCGGTAGCTTTCAGTGCAGAAATGATCTAGAACTATGTAGAGCAGAAGCTCTGAAGATGCAGTTTTTCCAGAATCTCTTATTGCAGAATGTTAAGAGCATTTAATCTTCAAGGCTGTAGTCTGTTCAGATGTTCCAGATGCATCTAGAATGTGTACATACATGTAGAAGCTTACAAATGCATTTAACTTGATCTTTCCCAACTTGTACTGCCAGATATATTGAACTGGCATCTCTCAGAATTTCCAATCAACTCAAGATCGAAATCTTTGTTGTACAATAGATATTTTGATGTAATCAGTAGCAGTTTATTTTGTTTCTAGCATTATGTTCAATTTGTATGAAAAAAAGTCAAATATTATTATGCTTATCATATTGATACCCTAAATTGTCATTCATACTGATAGAAAAAACAATCCAATCAGTTGATGACCGTGCTGCTTAGGAATCTGGGGAGAGGAAATTGTATTTTAACAGATTCCCTGTGTCACATCCCATAAAAAGCTCAGATGCAACCGTTGGACTTAAAACCATATTTTTCAAAGCAGCACAGGCCTTTGTCCATCCTTATTGCAGACAAGGCAAAGGTCATGGCAACAGAAGCATCATACTGTCCAATCCCATTATTTTCAGGAGCAAGAAAAAGATAGATGTCCCCTGTGCGACATTGTTCTTGTTCATCCAGGCCCTTTTTGAAATATCTCATAAACACATCCTGTGTCCTGGGTACCACAAAATCCATTCATTAATAAATAGTATTTAAGAGCGGGATGGTTAATATGCTAGCATGTCTTTCTCCACTCTGAACTCTATAGTATATTTCTGGGTGGTTGGGAGTTGACTGCTGATTGTGTGAGTATGGGAAATTTTTGATAACTGCTTCATGCTCTTCATCTGTGTATTTCTATTACTCTAAGCGGAGAATCTGGTGCTGGTAAGACTGTAAACACCAAGCGAGTCATTCAATACTTTGCCATTGTCGCAGCCCTGGGTGACTCTCCGGGCAAGAAAGGAGTAAGGCCTTCATTTGCAAAAAATCTTTTTCTCTTTTCTTTTGTTCATTTTTCTTTTGTTTCATTTTGGACTTCTTTTATGTTTGGCAGTGTGTTGGACATGGCCTTTTCTTTTGTTTTGAAACAAGCAAGGCTTGAAAAAATTGCTTTTGGGGAAATTTTCATGAAAAGAAGGATGAGGCAGTGGTTGCTTCAAGGATTTTTTTTTTTTTAATGACCAATGTGTTTCCCTTCCCTCCATTATTTTTATTTTCAAAAAAGGAGGGAAGTTCCCCAAAGCAGTCTTGCAACTCTTTCTTTTAAGCCTTGCTTTTTGTGATTTCCCTCTCCCAATTATCTCACTTGCTCCTTTTTATTCTTTTTCATCTTGTACCTTTCTTATTCTGTTTCTTCTTCCTCTTGCATTTCTTTTTTCTTTTCCCTTTTCCCTTTTTTATTTTTGAAATATCTTTGCAACTGCTTATTTTCTTATCAGTAATTTTTTTGACTTTGATTACATTAAAAAAAAATCACCAATAGTGTTTTCCTTCTTTGGATTTGTTTTTTTTTTAACCTTCTTGCTTCTTGGTGCTGTTCTTTATATTTATCTAATATATTTAACATTTTTGAAGTATTAAAGATGTTAGTTTTTATGAAAATTTAATCATTTTGGATTTTCTCATCAACAAAATTGGATTGTTTTCATCTTTGATTGGCATTTTCTGTGACTCTAATTTTGTATTTTTGAAATTCTAAATCTGTCTTTTAAAATCTTTTTTATAGCAAGCACCTGCCACTAAAACTGGGGTAAGTTTTTAAATAAGGAAACACTGTAAACCTTTTTAAAAAAATTAAACATCAAAAACTTGAGTGAGGAGCAGGCAATGTGATTATCAAATTTAGGACAGGTTCTAGAAACATGTGATGGCTCCCTTTGGCCAGGTAGTTACTGTATATATGTGCATACATTTATTTTTCATGGGGCAAAATTTTGATCTATGAGTGTGAAAATATATTATCCATGATTGTTTCATAGGGTACCCTCGAAGATCAAATCATTGAGGCTAACCCTGCTATGGAAGCTTTTGGCAATGCCAAAACCCTAAGAAATGACAATTCTTCACGGTTTGTAAGTATACTTTAAATCAAAGCAGCAATATATAACACTTTATGGTTGTTATGTGTATGCTTTGTTAGTCTGTTATGTGGTACCATTAAGAAGTGTAACAAACTGTTTTCATACCTGTTTGTTTTTTTAATTATTAAGTATAGTCTGATTATATACCTTTTAAGATGAAAGGCAGGAATAATCATAATCATAATCATAATATGGCGACCTGGCCATCGAAACTACACGGCTATGGATGAAACATGTAACAGTGATACCCATTGTCATCGGGGCACTTGGTACCATGTCTAGGAATTTTATAAGATACATCAACAAATTGCAGCTTCCTGCAATAACACCAGTGGAACTGCAAAAAACTGTGCTACTTGGAATATCGTACATCTTAAGAAGGTACTTGGTTGATACCAAGGACGCTGGCAGCAACCCGTATCAACCATTAGCACAAGTCAATGTTATTTGTGATGCATTTTTGAATGTTCAGTTGACTAAGTTTCATGTTTAATGAATAAAGTAAATAATAATAATAATGACTCAGTTGACTGAGTTTCATGTTTAATGAATAAAGTATATAATAATAATGATAACAACAACAATAATAATAGTAGCAAACAACAACAATATCTAGGCTGCAAAAGATGGCAGCATGGAGATTTAGAAAATGCTAACTTTTTGTAGTATAGATATAGAAGACTTACTGTGATACATTGGAAAAGAAAGCAGTATGTGAGCCCCTTTCCTTTCTACATATTTTAGGGCAAGTTCATCCGTATCCATTTTGGACCATCAGGGAAATTGGCATCTGCTGACATTGACATATGTGAGTAGTGAATCTAGAAGAAAATTGAATAAATTTATATAGGATGAAGTTATAAATGAGATTACTGAATAAATGGGCAAGAGTTGATTTTTAATTATAATAGTGTATTTAATAGTGTATACATGTAAAAAAGAATGACAATTTCCAGATGCCTCTGAATATCAGTTGTTGCACTTATATTCTATTTATGGGCTTTACAGAATAGAAATAGAAATAGAATAACAGAGTTGGGAGGGACCTTGGAGGTCTTCTAGTCCAACCCCCTGCCTAGGCCGGAAACCCTACACCACTTCAGAGAAATGGTTATCCAACATCTTCTTAAAAAGTTCCAGTGTTGGAGCATTCACAACTTTTGGAGGCAAGTTGTTCCACTGATTAATTGTTCTAACTGTCAGGAAATTTTTCCTTAGTTCTAAGTTGCTTCTCTCCTTGATTAGCTTCCACCCATTGCTTCTTGTCCTGCCCTCAGGTGCTTTGGAGAATAGCTTGACTCCCTTTTTTTTGTGGCAGCCCCTGAATAATTTGCCCTGTATGTCTTCTGTGGAAACAAACTGCTGGATTGAATATGTATTTTGCTTTCACAAAACTCTACTTTTGTTCTTCAAGAGTGATCTCCTATAAAATCCAAGATTCTCTTTCTTTTGAGTACAGTGTCATAAAGTAAAGTAGCCTTGCAATTGAATATTTTGCATTTTGTTTTTAGACTTGTTGGAAAAATCAAGAGTGATTTTCCAGCAGCCAGGAGAGAGGAGTTACCACATTTACTACCAAATCCTTTCTGGAAAAAAGCCAGAGCTACAAGGTAATCAGCATTAAAATGGTATGCAAAGGAATTTGTTAGTAGCCAGCATGGAAGACACATAGACCAGAACAGCCACAGAGCTATGTTCAGCAGTCTGACAGGCTGCTGTGAATCAACAGTTGCTATCAGTATCAATAAATCTGCATCTACAACAAAGCTATAAGTTCATACTTTTCTTCTTATGAGCACATTCACATCTATATCCATCTTTTGGGTCATTGTTGACTCAAAGACTTCTAATAGGCTTCACAGCTAAACAGCAATTTTCAACCCAGAACTTTCCCAATGACGATGCACACTTATAATATTTCAGAAATTCACTGAAATTCTGCTTACAATCCATAGAAAGCTGGTTTAACAAATATTTAATCAATAAAATGAATATGTTCAATGACTCATTTCAATTATATAATAATTAAACAATTTTCAGAGCACTGCTCAGGTTTATCAGTTTAACATATATAGTACTGTCAAATATCACTTAAAGATTAGACATTTATGATGACAGTAGACACCCTGTTTCCTCCAAAATAAGACATCCCCTGATAATAAGCCCAATCGGGCTTTTGAGTGCATGGCAATAAGGCCAAGCGCTTATTTCAGGGTTCAAAAAAATATAAGACAGGGTCTTATTTTCAGGGAAACATGACATTAAATAGACAAGTTTCAAAAGTTGCTGGTCTTATTTTTGCAGGGAGATTAAATTTAAGTTGAATCCACTGCATGTTTCTACTTCTTTTTTCCTTAGATTTATAGGTAAGATTGAATGAATTCCTATAATATATCCCAAATTATAATTGTTAATTTCTAAACTATTCCATTCCAGATATGCTTTTGGTGTCTTCCAACCCTTATGACTATCACTTCTGTTCACAAGGAGTAACAACTGTGGACAACCTGGATGATGGAGAAGAGCTCATGCTTACAGATGTAAGTATTTTTTCATCAATAAAGCAAGACTGTGGTGGTCTCTTTATAAAGTGTTTCAGTGCTATTTACATTAGCCATATAATAGAGTATATAAATACCTTTTATTTCAGTAAAAAGTGAATATTGTGGTTGCTTCATAACAATAAAAAATAATTTTGTCTAAATTCTCTTGTATATTTTCATATATCACTGCTTTCATGGTAGTTAGTCATCCCTAATGGAATAATTTAAGACTAAAGGCAGATCATCTGAATCATACCTCTACCAAAAGAGATTTATGTTACATATATTTATATTACAAAATGACTCTGGAAAAATAAGGTCTGCAGCTTATATGCAGATTATGTAAGTGATAACAGAAAACAGAAAAAACAGGATAACAGAGTTGGAAGGGATCTTGGAGGTCTTCTAGTCTAACTCCCTGCCTAGGCAGAAAACCCTACACCACTTCAGACAAATGGTTATCCAACATCTTCTTAAAAACTTCCAGTGTTGGAGCATTCACAACTTTTGGAGGCAAGTTGTTCCACTGATTAATTGTTCTAACTGTCAGGAAATTTCTCCTTAGTTCTAGGTTGCTTCTCTCCTTGATTAGTTTCCACCCATTGCTTCTTGTCCTGCCCTCAGGTGCTTTGGAGAATAGCTTGACTCCCTCTTCTTTGTGGCAGCCCCTGAGATATTGGAACACTGCCATCATGTCTCCCCTAGTCCTTCTTTTCATTAAACCAGACATACCCAGTTCCTGCTATCATTTTTCATATGTTTTAGCCTCTAGTCCCCTAATCATCTTTGTTGCTCTTCTCTGCACTCTTTCTAGAGTTCCCACATATTTTTTACATTGTAGCGTCCAAAACTGGATGCAATTTTCGAAGTGTGGCCTTACCAAGGCATTATAAAGTGGTATTAACACTTCACGTGATCTTGATTCTATCCCTCTGTTTATGCTGCCTAGAACTGTGTTGGCTTTTTTGGCAGTTTAGTTTTAGTTTTTAGTTTTATTTGATTTGTATACCGCCCTACTCCCGAAGGACTCAGGGTGGTGAACAGCCACAGGATAAAAAACATAAATACAAAATTTAAAACTGAATAAAATCGAATTAAACAATTTGGCCGAAGACAGATTTAAAACACCCCAAGAAATTAAAACAAATTAAAATTTACGTTTTAAAAAGGGAAAAAAGGGAAACAGTTAGGCCAGGCCAGCCTGATGGAATAAAAAGGTCTTGAGAGCGCGGCGGAAGGTGCGTAGATCTGGGATCCTCCGTATCTCCGGGGGGAGCTCATTCTAGATAGTAGGCACCCCCACAGAGAAGGCTCTCCCCCTGGGGGCCGCCAGTCAACATTGTTTGGCTGACGGCACCCGGAGAAGCCCCTCTCTATGAGAGCGTACTGGTCGGTGAGAGGCTACTGATGGCAGCAGGCGGTCCCGTACGTAACCAGGTCCTAAGCCATGGAGCGCTCTAAAGGTGGTAACCAAGACCTTGAAGCGCGCACAGAAGACCACCGGGAGCCAGTGCAGCTCGCGCAGGAGAGGTGTTACATGGGAACGCCATGTCGCTCCCATAACCACCTGCACGGCCGCACTCTGCACACTGCTGCTACACACTGCTAGCTCATATTTAAATGGTTGTCCACTAGGACTCCAAGTTCCCTCTCACAGTTACTACTATTGAGCGAAGTACCACATATACTCTATCTGTGCATTTTATTTTTCTTCCCTAAATGTAGAACCTTACTTTTTTTCACCATTTAATTTCATTTTGTTAGATAGCTCCCAATGTTCAAGTCTGTCAAGATCCTTCTGTACCTTAAGCCTAACTTCTGGAGTGTTGGCTCTTCATGCTAGCTTGGTATCATCTGCAAATTTGATGAGTTCGCCATCTATCCTCTTGTCCAAATCATTGATGAAGATGTTGAAGAGTACTGGGCCTAAAACTTGGAGTCTTGGGGTACCCCACTGCATACTTCCCTCCATGTAGATGCAGTTCCATTGAGGACTACATGTTGAGTGTTGTTGGTCAGCCAGTTACGAATCCATCTGGTGGTGATAGTGTCTAACCCACATTTTTCTATTTTATCTAGTAGTAGGTGGTCTACTTTATGCCTTACTGAAGTCCAAGTAAATTATATGGACAGCATTCCTCTGGTCCACTAATTTTGTCACTTTGTCAAAGAATGTAATAAGATTAGTCTGGCATGGATCTGGCATGGATCTATTTGTTCCCCTTTTTTGAAGATGGGAACTACATCAGCTCTTTTCCAGTCCTCTGGCAGTTCTCCGGTGCTCCAGGATCTTTGAAAAATATAATTCAGTGGTTCTGAGATCTTGTCTGCCAGTTCCTTCAGAACCTGGGGGTGTACTCCATCTGATCCTGGTGATTTGAACTCATCTCGGGTAGACAAGTGCTCACTTACCATTTTCTTCCCTATTTTAACTTGTGTTCCTAATCTGTTTTTTTTCTGTTTTTGATAGGTTGCACTGTTTTTTCCCTTTGGGTAAAGACAGTTGCAAAAAACGAGTTAAGTAGTTCTGCTTTCTCCCTGTTGCTTGCTACCTTCTTGCCACTTTCTCCCAGCAATGGACCAATTGTTTCCTTGGCTTTTTTCTTGTTTTTAACATGTTGGAAGAACTTTTTTTTGGTTATTTTTTACTTTTGTCACAAGCCTTTGTTCATTGTGAGCCTTAGCTTTCCTCACTTCATCTTTGCAGGCTCAGGCTATTTGCTGATATTCTGCTTTAGTTATGTGCCCCTCTTTTCACTTTTTATATTTGTCCTTTTTGTCTTTCAATTTGTTAGAGAGTTCTTTATACAGCCATGCTGGTTTCTTTTGAGAACTGTTATTTTTCTTCTTCATTGGTATTGTGCCAGACTGGGCTTTCATAATCTCTTTTGGGTGGGAAAAATCTGGAAACCTTCAGATTCAGATTTTCCCAGATGTGCCAATATGACATCTCTTATAAAATGTAACTTTGAGGAACTTCTAGCCTCGGAGTCTTCTTTCATTGGGGGTGTTACTTGGAACCCTGACACTCACTTTTCAGAATTTCCCAAGCATCTTGAGTTGTTTTCCCCTTGAGGATTCTCATCCATGGAATCCTTCTCAAGCTTTCTCTAAGTTTATTGAAATTAGCTCTCTTAAAGTCCAAGACTCAGTTGTGGGGGCAATAAGCTGACTTTGTATAAATATACAAAAGGATGAAGGCTATTGCTGAGCACATTGTAAGCCGCCCTGAGTCTCCGGAGAAGGGCGGCATATAAATCAAATTTAAAAAAAAAAGACTCTAGTTTGACTTTGTTCTATTGCTTGTGCTTGCATAATGTTGAATTCCAATATTGCGTGATCACTCACCCCCCAAGTTCCTGTAGCTTCAATACCTTCTATCATTTCATCTCTGTTAGTGATGAAGAGACTCCTTCAGTCTCTGCAGTCATAGGGGAAGAGGAATATGGAGTAATGGAAGAGGAGATTTACAAATGCCAGTGTTTTGAATGAGACAGACTGATTACACAATAAGAAATATATATTGAAATAGGATTGTTCCAGAAAAGCCTTTGTTAAAACTATTTGCCATCATTCATCAAATTCCTAAGGAATCCAAACAACGTTACTGATTTAAAAAATTGAATATAGCCAATATAATACATTTTAAATTGATGTTTTTTAAATTATAAATAATGTACATTTAATTGTAGTAACCTTAAAGTGGGCTAAAGCACTTCAGACATTTTGCTGGTGTCCTAGTAAATACCCAGTGAATTCATTCTTGATTTTTTGCTTCTTAACAGAATGGCTTTTAAAAAAAAACACTATCTTATCTGGTTCCTTTTTATAGCATGCTATGGACATCCTGGGGTTCACCAATGAAGAGAAGTATGGCTGCTATAAAATAGTAGGTTCCATCATGCAGTTTGGCAACATGAAATTCAAGCAGAAGCAACGGGAAGAACAGGCAGAGGCTGAAGGCACTGAAAGTAAGCATTTGTGCTGCTGCTTACTATTGGCTAATTCCAGAGCAGTAACCATGTTAGTCTGCTGCATTACAAGCAACCATATAGTGCAGGCTTATGGAGGCTTATAGCCAAACATTGATGTATGTTTATTTTATCTATTTCATTTAACACCTTTCATCAGGATAGGGGCTAGAAAGGATAGAAAATAGCATTCTGGTAAATATGTGCTTTGTACTAGGTATGTTCCCCACAACACACATTTTATCAAAAGACAGTCCCCACCTGTCCACATTTTGTGAGAAAGCCCCCAAGGTTTTCCATAATTCCAAATAAGTGGAAGATCTCTCTATCTCAATCATTTGGAGATCAAAATAATTGCCATCCAAGGCAGTAAAATAAAACAAGTAAAATAACGTATGATAAAATGGGTTAACATTTGGTTATAATATACAAATGGACCAATGGGAAAATATGTGATTGAAAGGACTAACATTTGCTTTGTTTCCCAGCACAGAGGATTTTTATAATATGGTGTATCATTGGCATTTGTTACTACAGATTTGTCTAAATGGATAAAGGTGATTTGAATCTTTGCTAGAAATGTGAACAACATTAAGGGATATTTTAACATGCTTGGACATGTTACTTTTTGCATGAAATGGAAAAAATGCATTTATGATTTGTGATTTTGATGATTGGGGAAAAACTATATAATAAAAAACAATGTGCTTTTTTGTAATCGTAGACTAAGAGAGAATTTTGTAATTCAATTTATATTTGTTACAAAGAAAATCAGAGGTTTCTTTCTATTTCTTTCTATATTTTTTCTGCACTTTTGTTTTTCTCCTTCTTCCTCCCTTTCTTTATTGCTTTTATTCTTTAATTATGGTAGTTTGTGTTACTTTTCATGTTTTTGTAAGACTTTTAATAATTTATAAATAAATATAAAACGATTATCATCTGAAAAATAGGTGGCAACCAGTTTTCCAAGGTTGAGACAAAAGTCAATCATGCTGTAGTCACTGTTGGAGAATGGTTCTTTTATTTGTAGTCCATAAATTGAATTTAAACTGTTGCAGAAGATGAGATCAAGGCGGTTGTTGAGTCTAGTGTTGTTAGTTACTAGTTGATCAAGTCCCAGATTAGCTAACACTATTGTACAGGGTTGAATGTATAGGTTCAGTTGTACATTCATTTAGGGTCCAATTAATAAGTGGTAAATTAAGGTCACCAAGAAAGATTATTGAGTGTGGGCAGGAGGCTGCCCAGGTTAGTAGTGAAGTTAACTTGTTTGCATGTTCAATGTCATAATCTGGGGCTCTGTAACAAAGTAAGAATCGAAATGTGGTATTTAAGGACAGGTCGCAGACGATGGTCTCAGGAAGAGCAAGTTCGCGTGTAACTTGAATATTTTTTAGATGTAGGGACTTTTTGTAGAAGATAGCAACACCACCTCCTCTACGGATTTCACGATCTGACCGGGTAAACTTGATAGTCTCTTACTATAGTAAGGGAGTCAGGGACGGATGTATTCAGCCAAGTCTCACAGACAAATATAATGTCGAATATAGCCGTATTTAGTAAGAGGATTCAGCTATTTTATTTACAAGGCTTCTTGGATTAAGTAGCTTGTATTTAAGGTCAGTAGTAGTTGTTATAGAGGAAGTCTGGAGCGTGCGTGCCTAGTTTTGGATGATGGGGGGTTGGATGGAGGAAGATTGGGTGTTAGGATGTGGGTTGTGGGACTTTCTTTTGCCATTCCTTCTCTTCCCCTTCGCCTTGCTAATGTTTCACAGAATATCACATTGTTGGCAAAATAAACAGATGAGCACCAAGGTATAGGAGATTCAGTGGGAAGCACTTTACTATTAATTCTGGACCATAAAGACTAATTGCCACTTACTTTTAAATAGCTAGATGATCATTCTCATTTGAAAAGTTTAAATTTTGGGAACTCTTGTTTCTTTTTAATTTCGTTATGTTAAAAATTTTGCTATTTGCTCTTGTGCTGCAGGTGCTGATAAAGCCTCTTACCTCATGGGGATCAGCTCAGCTGACCTCATCAAGGGGTTGCTTCATCCAAGAGTGAAAGTTGGAAATGAATATGTCACCAAAGGCCAGACTGTAGATCAGGTAAGCATTTGGGAATTGTACAACTTGGCCATGTGACTCCATATACTTATATGATCTTTTAGTTGTGGGTCTTAAACAAAACTTTTCTGCAATTGTAAGAATGAAATAAATAATTATCTTGCTAGCTATCGCAAAAAGGGATACAGTGGCTCAGTGGCTAAGACGCTGAGCTTGTTGATAGAAAGGTCGGCAGATTAGTGGTTCAAATCCCTAGTACTGCGTAACGGGGTGAGCTCCCGTTATTTGTGCCAGCTTCTGCCAACCTAGCAGTTTGAAAGCACGTAAAAAATGCAAGTAGAAAAATAGGGACCACCTTTGGTGGGAAGGTAACAGCGTTCTGTGTGCCTTTGGTGTTTAGTCATGCCGGCCACATGACCAAGGAGACATCTTTGGACATGCTGGCTCTTCAGCTTTGAAATGGAGATGAGCACTGCCCCCTAGAGTTGGGAACGACTAGCACATATGTGCAAGGGGAACCTTTACCTTAGCTATCTCAAAGCATATGTTTTTAAGATTTGTTGAGCAGAGATTTATTTGCAAAGCAGTCAAACAGCAAAGTATGTTAGTATGAACGAAAGGCCCTCTCCAAAGTGTGAGACAACTGTGTCATCTGTAAGGCACAGTGCATGCTTTGGAGTCCCAGGAGAAGCCTTGTTTGTGAGGGCAACGTCTATAGGCAACCTGAAAAAACCTTGATGCCAAGTCTTCCAAACCAGTGGTGGTTTGCTCCCGGTTCGGACCGGTTCTGTAGAGCCGGTAGTAAAACCGGCTGGAGGCTCCACCCACTGACCCAGACGTCATCAGAAGCGATCTGCGCATGCGCAGAAGCACAATGCAAACCGGTAGTAAAGGTAAGTAGAACCCACCCCTGTTCCAAACACTACAGCTATCTCAACCCTTGGAGGAGAGATGCTTCATTCATGTTAAAATGCTTTGTGAAGTTTCTCTTGAATACTTTTCATAGCTCTATTATAAACAAAACTATGTATTAGATATGAACTTTAGAGGTAAAACAGTGGTCCTGATGAAATTTTACTATGTTGCACTCACAGGTGGTGTATGCAGTAGGAGCTTTGGCCAAAGCCACTTATGATCGTATGTTCAAATGGCTAGTTATGCGTATCAACAAAACCTTGGACACCAAACTAGCCAGGCAATTTTTCATTGGAGTTCTGGATATTGCTGGCTTTGAGATCTTTGAGGTAGGTTTGGAAATCGGCCAAGGCAAACACCTTCATATGAAAGCAATTTTATACGATTCTGTATTAGAAAAAGCAACAACTAAATATTGTTAACAACGAAATATACAGACCAGCATTGTTTACTTGATTTTTTTTCCTGTGAAGTCTATGGCTGGCAAATTGCAAGATCTGAGGTGAAAATCCACTTGCACTTGAATTCTAGAGCACTTCCACAGATGGTTTGTGTTGTATAGCACGATAAGATTTCATGCTGTCGTTTCTGTTTATCAACTGCATCTGTTAATTTCTGGTTGAGCTGTAGTACTTTAAACAGTTTCTCCGTTGTTGTACAAAAGAGAGACTCTGGCTGATCTGGTTTTCTATTGGTACAGACTCTCCTTTCACTCTGCCTCCTGGAATGGAGGATGAGAAAATGTAGCTTCTTGTCAAGAGCCTAATTTTAGAGCTCATTAAAAGACAACATGTGGTAGTGCATGCTGTCTTTTTTTTTTTAGCCCTCCTACAGCTACTACTGCAGGTGTTTCAAAAATCAATGCACAGATGCTGGCAGCATGAAATAAAAATGTTAACAGGTAACAGATAGCCGATTAAACATTTTGTTTATTTATTTTTTAATTGACTTGAGGTATTGCAGACTCGTGGCAGCAGCAATGTCAGTGGGATGTGTGCATTTCAAAACAGGCAACATGGTGAACAATCTAAACCTATGGCATGCGTGCCAGAGGTGGCACATAACACCCTCTCTGTGAGCACGTGAACCATCACCCCAGTTCAGCTCTGCTGCACATGCGTGCATGCCTCCCGCCAGCCAGCTGGTCTTCGGGTCTCTGCTGCGCATGCACAGGGTACGGGGCATGTACAGGGGGACCACGCATGCATGCGTGGGGGGTGGGGTGAATGCTGAGGGCCATGTGCGCATGCGCAGAGGGGTGTGGGCATGCAGGGGGGTGCACGCACGGGGCCACGTGTGCATTGCATTTTGGGGCTTTGGGCATGCTTTGGGCACTCGGTCCAGAAAAGGTTAGCCATCACTGATCTAAGTGTTGTCTCTTTGTACACGTGTATATACAAAAAGGGCAAGGCTTGGATCATTGCACTATATTCACCACCTTGCCTGATTTTGATTCTGTCTTGTGGATTCTGCTGAATGACAGTGAAGATAATGAAAGCTGATCTTCAGATTTCTTTGGGGAAATTAGGGAATGGAAATGGGAACCATGTGGAAATGATATTAGAATTGGATCTAGCATTGGCTGATTCATATGACTATCTTTTTAACATGGTAAAATACTGTACTGATTTTAATCTTTAAATATAGCTATATTAACTTTCAATGAAGAAAATGCAACACAGGTCCTGACCATAGGCTTGCAAACTACTGTTCAATAGTTCATTTAATTAATTACTTTCACAAAGAGCTACTCAAAGGCCATGTATAAAGATCAATAGTACTATAACATCAGAATGTGGTGTAGATAAAACCTAATATCCTGAAAATATTTTTAAAGAATCACTGAAATGTTGATAGATTACAGGAGATTTCACTCAAGAGGCCAAATCTTGGGAGATCTCAGCAAAGACACTGAGACCTCATAAAACAGCATATAACAAGATGGCATATAACAAGAGCCTTGGTGGCGCAGCAGACTAAAGTGCTGTTAAGTAGCACCAGCTGCCTGCAATTACTGCAAGTTCAAATCTCACCAGGCTCAAGGTTGACTCAGCCTTCCATCCTTTCAAGGTAGGTAAAATGAGGACCTGGATTGTGGGGGCAATAAACTGACTTTGTATAAAAAAGAACACCGCTTGGGGGGGGGGGCGAAAGCCCTACTAAGCAGGTATATACAAAAGTATGAAGGCTATTGCTTAACGCATTGTAAGCTGCCCTGAGTCTCCGGAGAAGGGTGGCATATAAATCGAATCAATCAATCAATCAATCAATCAATCAATAAGATGGGCAATCTTTCAGGAAATACTGTGTTGTTACTGAAAAGAAGTCAGGGCTGCAACAATGCAAGGGGCTATATGAAGTATAAGCAATTTTAAAAATACTGTAGGACAGTATTGTAGAAATGTAGGATAGTATTGGTTGGTTTTTCTTTTGTGTTTGAATTTGTGAAAAGTTCATTTTAGGACATATACCATAGTTTTATTGTCATAAACATAGAATTTCAAAAATTGTGCCATAAAATTTGACAGCACAACTGATAAAACTGTGAGCTGCTTACAAAAATATTAAATATTTCTTTGACAAAGTTTATAATTACATTTTTTAGTTCTTGCCATTCTGTTATATATATGCCTGAAGTTGTATATTTACAAATTAGAAAGTTACTATATACAAAAAGGACAAAATGCTTTGATGCTTTTCAGAGGGTGCTAATAAAGATTATATTTTAGGTAGGTGGTAGAGTCTCAAGTTCCTTTTGTTTCATTTCTTGCCTGCAGTTTAACAGCTTTGAACAGTTATGCATCAACTTCACCAATGAGAAATTGCAACAATTTTTCAACCATCACATGTTTGTTTTGGAACAAGAAGAATACAAGAAAGAAGGAATCGAATGGGTCTTTATTGACTTTGGCTTGGACTTGCAGGCTTGCATTGATCTGATTGAAAAGGTAAAGTTGAGAGATACAATAGCGAGAGGTTTAGGAATGTTGTATTATAAATAAATCAGCTATGTAAAGAAGTATATGAGTACAACTTGTTCTGTTTTTCTCTTACTTCCAAATTTTTTTCTATATGAACAACAGTGAATTTATCTGGCTAAGCTTTTTAAAACTAGGGCAAAATAATTCACTTCTACTGCCATCCTTCTCCCTCACTGTCTTATTTTTTTTTAAAAAAAAAATTCTTAACTGTATTCTAACTTAACTTATTCCAAACCCTCTACTGAGGATCTATTCTTTGTTGTTTTGCTGAAAAAGAATTTTCTGTACTGTGCACCTACAGAGCTATTTTTAGGCATTTAATTCCCACTGGTGAAGTCCTTATTTACATTTTTTAAAAATTCTCCGGGTTCTCCTTTATTTCTAGATCTATCTACAAAGAAGAATAAAGCATATAATTTTACAATATCTTTTGAATGAGAAAATAAAGAAATGTCAATAAAACCAAGATGTTTTGCTCCAGAATACTACATATTCAGAGAGGAAAATTCAAACACTTTTAAAAGTAGAATTGAGGCAAAGAAATAACAAATAAACAAAAGAAAGCAAACACAGATACTTAGAGATGAAAAGAATAATTTCAAAATCAATTTCTTACCATATGATAAAATAGTCTTATGAAAGTTATTTTTATTGATCCAAATTATTGATCCAAATATAGCTCAGAACTATTGTGATCCTGCCACATGAAGCTGTTTTCATATGAGTAGAATAGTTCTACTTGTCAAAATATACCCAAATCTGTCCATTGTTCTGAAAACTCTAACTTCATATGATCCCTAATTCAGAATAGGCAAAATTAATTATTAATAATTAATAATGTGTAAATTACTAATTATTTATACTGTGAGTGGTCCACCATTTTATTGGATTAAGTAAATATAAGACCAATTAAGATTGCTATTAAAATGTTGATGAATATCCTTTTCTTATAGCCACTTGGTATTCTGTCTATTCTGGAGGAAGAATGTATGTTTCCCAAGGCTTCTGATATGACATTCAAGGCCAAGCTGTATGACAATCACATTGGGAAATCACCCAACTTCCAGAAGCCTCGGCCAGATAAGAGGCGCAAATATGAAGCCCACTTTGAGGTGGTGCATTATGCAGGAGTGGTATGTAATAGTTCCCAACTTCCCACCTTATAAACTTTAAATTAATGTTTACTTTGTTCTGATTTTGTTGTTTTTGGCCATTTATCAACAGGTGCCTTATAGTATAATTGGCTGGCTAGATAAGAATAAGGATCCCTTGAATGAGACAGTGGTAGGTGTCTTCCAGAAATCCCAAAATAAGCTGTTGAATAGTTTATATGAAAGCTATGTCAGCTCTTCTTCAGGTGAGTTGTATTGCCATACCTGCTTATTTTATATGGCACTGAAGATAGTATATGTGTGAACATAGGAACAGTTATGCTACATTAATGAAAGGTCTACTTGATCAAATTTTCAATTTCCAAAAGTCAGGATTTTCCAGGAAACAATCTCTTTTCTTTATATTTCCCTCACAATTTTCTCTATTATATCTAAAATTTGAAACGATAGGCTCCTAAAAGACCACACACATCACTGAAAACACTATTGCAGATAAGCAATTGAGATCCCTTATATAGTATTCAAAATCTTTGATTGGCATGATAGGTAGAATTTAATAAATAAAATATATAAACAGATCCATGTTATGGAATTTGATCAACTGAAGTGATCAAGAAAAATAAGGTATGAATCAACTCATTGCTCAGATTAGGGTGCAAAAGACATGATAAAATAAATTTTATCATCAAATATTTCAAAGGCAATAGCATAAATAATTGTAAACCAATAAGATATAGTTGGTAATCTCTCTTGAAAAGAATGTAACTAGACATTGGGACTATAAGCAGAAAGAGAATTGTGCACAACTTAAATAGTTTAGAATTATGGGTTCAATCAAGCCTGCTGAATTTTTGTCTAGCCTTAAAATATGTAGTCCACCTGCCTGTTGATCTTTTTTCTTATTATCACAAGAGGAATAAGCATTCCATATCTCATTTTAAACAATGTATATCTTAAGTATGTTCTGAGAACCTATCATTTGTTGATATTGTATTTTGGCTTCAATAGCAATAGCAATAGCAATAGCAATAGCAATAGCAATAGCAATAGCAATAGCACTTAGACTTATATACTGCTTTACAGTGCTTTACAACCCTCTCTAAGTGGTTTACAGAGTCAGCACATTGCCCCCAACAATTTGGTTCCTCATTTTACCCACTTCAGAAGGTTGGAAGGCTGAGTCAACCTTGAACCTGGTGAGATTTGAACTGCCAAATTGCAGGCAAGTTCAAGTGAATTAAGAGTTTGAGAATAAGTTGTAGAAGCAAAGATTTGAGGAAAGCTGTTCCTTTACTCACCAGAATTGCCAAGAGGCATAAGGGTGCTCATGCTAAAGTTATAGACTATCCTATAGTCTATATCCAGGGATGTCAAACTTGAGTTCATTGAGGGTCGCATCAGGGTTGTGTTTGACCTCGGGTGGGGAGGGAGGTGTGATCAGGGTGGGTGTGATCAATTCGACGTTACTCGTGTGAACAAATGCCACTTTTGCTGGCTGTTTGTTTTGTTAGCACTCTGCCAGTGAAAATAGAGCTTGGGAGGGCCATGTGCGGCCCTCACGAGCTCCATTGTCACTGGCAGATGCACCACTGGCCGGGCCTTTGTTGTTTCCAGGGTGGCCCTGCGGGCCACATCTAAGCACCCCATGGGCCGCATCCAGCCCACGGGCCTTGAGTTTGACACCCCTGCTATAGATCATTTAAAATATTTCACTATATAATTATGTAAATTGATTCATTCCTTTAGGTCCTCGTTTTATTTGTATTCTAATGATTTGAAAACAGTATTTAGTCTTGGCAGTCTCTCATAAAGAAACAATGTTGACTGGCGACCCCCAGGGGGAGAGCCTTCTTTGTGGGGGCACCTGCCCTCTGGAATGAATTGCCCCCAGAGATACACATGATCCCTGACCTATGCGCCTTTCGCTGTGTCCTCAAGACCTTATTGTTTCAACAAGCTGGGCTGGCCTAAATATGAATTTTAATGGTTCTTTTAGTTTTTAATAAGACTGGGGCCAAATTATTTAATATATTTTTAAATTGCTTTTAAAAAATTTTATATGTGTGTTTTAGTGTTGGCTGTGCACCGCCCTGAGTCCTTCGGGAGAAGGGCGGTATAAAAATTTAAATAATAAATAAATAAAAAATAAATAAATAAACCAGCTAGGCTGAATGACTAAGTAGACTTAAAATATTAATTGTTTAGAAACTAGAGTTAATCTCACAGTTGTTAAAAACTAAATGAGTACCCAAATTAAATTAGTCCCACTAAAGTAATATACTGAAATTTTGTTTGATAGATGAGCCCCACAAGGCAGGTGTCAAAGAAAAGCGTAAGAAGGCAGCTTCATTCCAAACTGTGTCTTCAATGCACAAGGTAAGCATTTGATACTTTGGAACAAAAATCACTGGTTAAACTCTACAGAACTGTACTTGATTCAGTTAATAGGTACATTGGACAGTTCTTCCAGGTAACATTCTAAAAGTCACCAATTATAAATTTGAATCCCAGGCAGACACCTTAAAGCTTGGTTCTTCTCCCCAAATGGTCCAGTATTCTCCTTTCTTGGCAAGAAAGATAAGAGGGAATTCACAGTAGTGATTATCCCTGTGTTATCAGTTCTTGGTGAACATCTTCATTTCACATTCAAATTGAATTGGAAGAATACTTGAAAGAAAACTAATTCCCTCTATGATAGGGAAATGCTTATTTCTGTTCCGGTGGTGTCTTTGTTCTACATGGTTCCTGGCTGCTTTTCCGTTGCTGAGGGAGAGGCAGTTAAGACTTGCAGTGATGTTTAGATAATTTATTACATAAACATCACTTTAAGTCTGTGCTATTTCTCTCCTCACTATTGACTGCAGGAAGGAAAACCTTTGGGAAGAAGGAAACAAATGTGGATTTTACAGTGCTTGGAACAACTACCCACCCACCCCCCGACTTTTCTGCTTTGGGAGAGAACTAGCTAGACCTAATTCTAATTGAACCAATAAATTGTATTTGTCTCGGTGAAGTCCCTTTGACTGAGAGCCAAGGTTTCAGAACTTAGAAGAGAAAGTTCTTGAGATCATTGAAAGGGCTGGATAAGAGAGAATGAGATAAATTTAAACGGGAAACTGGACTCAGAGACTGAGATTCAGCTGGGTCGGGGTGAAATGAGCAGGTCCACATTTTTTCTTCCATTCAATCATGTCCAATTCTCGGAAACAGCCTGGACAAGTCCCTGCAGGTGTTTTTTTCCCCAAGGTTTTTCAAAAGTGGTTTGCCTCTTTCCTGGGACTGAGAGAAAGTAACTAAGCCAAGGTCACCCAGATGGCTTTGTGCCTAAGGCAGGAGTAGAACTCACACTCTCCTGGTTTCTAGCCTTGTGCCTTTACCACTATAGCAATCTGACTCTCAGCTCCACATTATCGGGATGGCTTTAGACCTAACTATCTGAAAGACCTCATATCTCATTATGAGCCTGCACAGATGCCCCCATTGTCAAAAGCTCACAAATTTATGATGTGGAAAAGGGCTTTCTCCTGCATTGCTTCCAGCTATTGGGTGCTCATCCTTGGAATCTGTATTTGGCCCCCACTTTTTTATGTAGACAAGTTATAAAGATATATTTCTTTCTCTAGTTTTTTAATCACTTATCCTCCAGTGATTGATTTTATTTTAAGTTTATGTTACATTTTTTGAATAAATATTGTTTCCATTTTAATCATTATTAGTTGTCTTGTTGGAACTGAATAGTAGCATGTATGTATGTATATGTTCTCCCTCTCCCTCTGCTTCTCTCTCTCTCTCTCTCTTTCTCCCTCTATCTATCTATCTATTTATCTATCTATCTATCTATCTATCTATCTATCTATCTATCTATCTATAAAACATGTTTTCCTGAAAATAAGACCCTGTCTTATATTTTTTTGAACCCTGAAATAAGCGCTTGGCCTTATTGCCATGCGCTCAAAAGCCCGATTGGGCTTATTATCAGGGGATGTCTTATTTTGGGGGAAACAGGGATCTATGTATGTATGTATGTATGTATGATGTATGGTTATGTATATGTGTACTTTCTAAACATCTCTCTTTTACAAAATGAGTAGCATGATATGTACTGTATATGTATATATGTATGTATATGTGTGTATGTGTATATGTATATATGTCATGTTACTCATCTTGTAAAAGAGAGATGTTTAGCTGCCATATGTTATCTGTAACTAATTACAGGAAAGTAGAAATTTCTAGATTAGATAGCCAAATAGGGGTAAGTTTGCTGTGGGAGACATAATTGTCTGAACATTTATGTAGAGCATTGCATAATAAAATTTTCATCTGGTTGAATCTGCAGTGCCACCTTTGTCACATATAAAGTGAGTTGGATAAGTAAGTTATTTTCCAAGACACCTGTAGATAGCATCAGTAATAATTCAGATATGATCATAATAATCATGCTATGTCTATGTGCCTTTTTGTGTGTATGTCCATTCTGCGGACAATACAAACAAAAAAGAAGCCAAATTCTTCTCATAATTACCAATTATCTTTGTGTCCATCAATGTCCACAGAAAACTGCAATGAAATCAAAATGACAATATTATAGGCAGGATGATGTCATCATGCAAGTACTGCCTTTACGTACTTGTGTCCCAACATCTAGCGCAAGTACAGGTAGTCCTCAATTTACAACCACAATTGAACCCAAAATTTATGTTGCTATGTGAGAAATTTTCTCTGGAATTTCAAAAGTAGGAAGAAGAGAAAGAGAAAAAGAAGGAGAGAGAGAGAGAGAGAGAGAGAGAGAGAGAGAGAGAGAAGATTGTTATTCCACCTTCCAGATAGAAGTTTCATTCTAAGACAATGTCTAGGTTACAAACAACAACAACACTTTCATGCCATTCTATTTAAAGCTCTTCTCTGGATGTGAAATCCAGAAGGAAGAACCTTTTTGTCCTTTTTTCCTGACCAAATTCCTGGCTTATTTCTAACAGAGGACACAGAGAGAAAGGGCTCAGTGAAGATTATAATATTGGGGCCAGCTTTGCATTGAGGAAAATACAGCTGGTTCATGGCAGGAGTAATACATGTTAAAATTTGACGTAGAAATGGAATGAGAGCAAATGAAGCTATTTAACTTTATATGTCTGCCTTACAGGAAAACCTGAACAAACTGATGACCAATTTGCGTGCTACCCAGCCCCATTTTGTCCGCTGCATTATCCCTAATGAAACAAAGACTCCAGGTACAGAATGTCAAAAAGATTTACATAAAATAGATGTGATGAAATGCCCGGGGTAAGGTCCGTATATAAGGCCCTGTATTTTTTTTTTTTTTAGCACTGACTTCTTTGTTGCACATAACGCAAAAAGTGGCATTAAGTTTTTTTAAAATATTGAGCGAGGCTGGCATCTTAACTATTTTGAAACTTGTACCGGTATCTAGATAACTGTGCTTTCAGTTAGGGTGAAAAGGTATTAATTTTTTTTCTCACCTTTTAAGTCTCCCATTTCCTTGTTTTTGATAACTATGACTGTTTAATTGGACAGTATTTCATGTATTTTCCCTTCATTTTATTTATTTATTTATTTATTTATTGGTTTGATTTATATGCCGCCCTTTTCCAGAGACTCAGGGCGGTTTACAATGCGTTAAGCAATAGCCTTCATACTTTTGTATATACCTGCTTAGTAGGGCTTTCGGGGCCCCCCTAAGCGGTGTTCTTTTTTATACAAAGTCAGCTTACTGCCCCCACAAACCAGGTCCTCATTTTACCTACCTCGAAAGGATGGAAGGCTGAGTCAACCTTGAGCCTGGTGAGATTTGAACTTGCAGTAATTGCAGGCAGTTGGTGCTATTTAACAGTGCTTTAGTCTGCTGCGCCACCAAGGCTCTTATGACCTTATTTAGGATTAAGTTCTTTAGTTTGGAGAAGAAGTTGTTATTGCTGAAGACACCTTCTCTTCCCCCCCCCATGCAGGAGCCATGGATCCTTTCCTGGTGATGCATCAGCTGCGGTGTAATGGCGTCCTTGAGGGCATTCGCATCTGTAGGAAAGGGTTTCCAAATAGGATCCTGTATGCTGACTTCAAGCAGCGGTAACCTGTCCTCTTCTTTCCTATGTAAAGATACTAGCATTTCTCTCCTGCTAGGAATGTTAAGTAGGTGGTAAAGTTGTGGAATCTAGCCATTGGAAGAAAGCGTGGATTTCTGAAAATATTCTCCTATTTATTTATTTATAAATTGTATTGGCTGCTCATCTTACTGTAGGGTAACTCTGGGTGGCTTGCAGTTAAATATACAGATAAAATATAAAAAGTTAAAATCAGACATTAAAACCAAGGACACATAGGGAAGGCAGGGAGGGAGTTGGGGGGGAGGTGGGATTTGTTATTACTCAACCAACCACCTCCATTGCGCTGTTCTCCCACTGGGCCCCAAGCCGACTGGCAGAGCCATGTCTTACAAAAAAGATGGGAGGGTTGGAACTAACCTCACATCGGGGGCCAAGGTGTTCCAGGGGGCAGGAGCAACAACAGAGAAGACCCTCCTCCTGAACCCCACCATCCAGAATAATCAGGCTGACAGGACCCGTAGCATGCCTCGTCTGCTGGCATAAGTGGTACAGGCCAATTCCATTGGGTAAGACTACACATAAATAAATACTACACATTTATTTCTCTTTTATTCTTGTTTTACTGCCAGGACCCCAGAATAAACAGGGTCTAACTGTTAACAACAAAACTGCATCTCTCAGAATTCTGTGAAAAGAAGGAAGAGTAAATAGTCAAATTGTGTGAGCATTGTGGTTTGGTTTGGGTAATTAAAGTTATGAATTTAATTATAAATTAAATAAATGAATTTAATGTCAGATTAGAACTATCATATATATTTTGGAAAATCATCAAAACTCCTTAAATGACAATCTTTTAAAGCTAGATAAACTTTATATTTAATGCTATTTCTGGCAGTAATGCCCATTTAGTTACTCTAGTTGGTTTTATGGTTTCTGAGAGTTAGAAAAAATAAATATTTATTTCTAGTGCAACTTTATTCATTTTCTGAAGGCATATATAATGATGGAAAATAACAATTCATTTATTGTTTATTGTTAGCCTACAAATTTCTAGTGATAAAACCAGAATAATCTCATGTATCAGAAATAGCACTGGCTGAGAAATTAATGCTTGAAATTCATGAGTTTTGATTTTTCATATAGTTAAGGATTTTTATTATTCCTTTGTATACACATATATTTATGAAGGAAATACTGGATACGGACATTTAAAATTTCACATCATTAAGACTACAATTACACACATACAAGTACACATATATATTCAGACTAAGAATTTTATTCCGCAGACCATGAGATGTTTGCAACTGGCCTATGGAAACGGCAGACAAGCATGCTTGTGTACATGCATCCCCACTTGTGTGAGCAGTGGACAAGTACGTACACACAAGCTCGATTTGCATGAGTGGTGGGTGCGACTGCACACCACTTGTGCAAATGGAGCTGTGCATGCACACGCTTGCCAGCCGCTCACCCAAAACCATCCCCTCTCCCCCACTCCCTCACTGGTCCGCAAAGCTGGAAAATTTGGGGAACTCTGATTTAATAGAAGCAGTAGAATCATTGGAGCCTATCCAGTTCATTTCCCTGGATTACAACACTCAAAATAGATAGTTTTTATCCATTTCTAGAAGGTGTCCAGTGAATGGGAGCTTATTTAGCCCACTCTATACAATAATTGTATAGAGGGTAGTATATTTTCAGAGATGTTCATGGGGTATGTTAAAAAACATCAAAATGGCAACTAGGACGGTACAATTGAAACTCTGCCTGTTTTTAAATGTGTTTCATGTGCAAAGTATATAAAAATATGTGGAGCTTTGATTGTACCATCATAGTCATCATCTTGACTTTTTTGACCCCAGTCCTGCAGACATCCCTTGGTACTAAAAGGATGTTTAAAAAATGTGGAGAAGTTTATATTGTATTAAACAGGCATCTTCAGCTTCATTAACAATAACCTAAACAAATATTTAGGATTAAAGGTAAAGGTAAAGGTTCCCCTTGCACATATGTGCTAGTCGTTCCCGACTCTAGGGGGTGGTGCTCATCTCCGTTTCAAAGCCAAAGAGCCAGCACTGTCCAAAGATGTCTCTGTGGTCATGTGGCTGGCATGACTAAATGCCAAAGGCGCACGGAACACTGTTACCTTCCCACCAAAAGTGGTCCCTATTTTTCTACTTGCATTTTTTATGTACTTTCGAACTGCTAGGTTGGCAGAAGCTGGGACAAGTAACGGGAGTTCACCCCATTACGCAGCACTAGGGATTTGAACCACTAAACTGCCGACCTTTCGATCAACAAGCTCAGCATCTTAGTCACTGAGCCACCGCATCCCCATTTAATTTAAGATTAGTGACCTATAAAAATCATACTGAGCTATCAACTACATATAAAGTATAATAATCCCCATCATTTAATGTATTATTTAATTCTTCACTCCAATAAAATCATGGTTTTCCAGATCTTTCTTTACCAAGTAAATCGTTTTAGAATCTAAGCCGCTTACATGAAGAAATACTCATGATTCTAAACATCTATTCCTTCAACTGTTAATCTTACCTCCCAGTTATCGTATCTTGAACCCAGCTGCAATACCCGATGACAAATTTGTAGATAGCAGGAAGGCCACAGAAAAACTGCTGCTTTCCTTGGACATCGACCACTCCCAATATAAGTTTGGACATACCAAGGTATTTGGTGTGCAAGTAGCATTTATGAATGAATGTGTTGATTTTACTGTGATAGAAAAGTGCTGAGGATGAACATAATGTTTATGTCTAAACTAAGATTCGTATTCTTCTTTTTATATAATACAGTTTTCTTTCTTGAGTGTTAGCTTCAAACACCTTATATTCAGTATCTACCTTAAAGAAGAAAGCTGAAATGGAAATATATAAGCAAAAAATAAATTAAAACACTTCATAAAGAAATAAAATATAATATAAAATTTAGAAATATTTTGTTTCTGAACAGGACTATTTTAGAATCTCAAAGTAGCTTATGGCGAATTAAGCCTAGTATATCTTCTAACTATCATTCATTAATTGCTCAAAAATTAATTGCAAACAATTAGCACAAGGGAAATATTCTTCAGAATTGTTTAAATATATTATTCAAAATCAACATGAAATCAATTCCATCTTTAGTATATAATAAATCTTTCAGGTATTTTTCAAAGCTGGTTTGCTGGGTCTACTGGAAGAGATGCGAGATGAACGGCTGGCTAAGATTATCACCCTCCTGCAGGCGAGGATGCGTGGTCGCCTCATGCGAATTGAATACAAGTTAATCATCACCAGAAGGTATAACAACAAAATTACCTCTGCAGATACGTTTGCTTCATGTTATCCATTGAGATATTATGAATTTTATTGATTAGTGAGACATCTCTGTGAGGGAGGTACCTTTCTCTTTACTGTACCTGTACATTTCAATATTTTGCTTTTCAGAAGGAGAAGCAACATTAAAGATCTTTTTTTAAAATCGGCATATAATTTACAGCACAGTATTTTCATTTTCTTCCTCTCTCTATTTTCCTCTCAGAATCTTCAGTTTCTTCATAAGTTTAGACAGAGGCACAGATGAACTTCCTCTTATCCCATAGCTTTCCGTTTTCAATATGTTTTGTTAATTCCTCACAGAGAGGCACTCTACACCATCCAGTGGAACATCCGTGCTTTTAATGCTGTGAAAAACTGGTCTTGGATGAAACTCTTCTTTAAGATCAAGCCTCTCCTCAAGTCAGCTCAGACTGAGAAGGACATGGCTATCCTCAAGGAGGAATTACAGAAACTGAAGGAAGCTCTGGAGAAGTCAGAAGCTAAACGGAAGGAACTGGAAGAGAAACAAGTTGGCATAATCCAGGAAAAGAATGACTTGTCTCTACAGCTTCAAGCAGTGAGTAACTTATGTACTTAAGCATTCCAAATGAGCTTAGGCATTGAATGCATGTTCTATGTGGAAGCTCAGATTGAACATGACTGTGAACATTTACAGACTGATATTCCTTTACATACTTAATAGATATTCTAAAGCACGGGTGTCAAACTTGCGGCATCATGTTGCCGTTTCATGGCTTATCATGATGTTTTTTTCCCTTTGTGGAGCTGGGATGGGCATGGCCTGCATCATGTGATGCATCCGGCCCACGGGCCACCAGTTTGACACCTCTGTTCTAAAGCTATAAGACCACTTCCTATTCAGTGGTAGAAGTAGGAATATATGTCTACAAACATTACTAACTCTGTACCTATGATTAAACTTTCACAAATGAATGGGCCAGATTTTTGTTCCAGGGGAAAGATGAAGGCACTCAAATGAAGTGAGGGTCCCTTTTTAAATGTCCATAAATGACAACAACCTATAAAATAACCATAGCTTTTAATATTCATTTTCATACATCTATATACAGTTTTGAGATTTTACTAAGAACTATTAGAGTGGTAAAGTGCTGCTTTGGATGTCCTTCACAGGAGCAAGATAATTTGGCTGATGCAGAGGACAGATGTGATCTCTTGATTAAGACCAAAATTCAGCTAGAAGCCAAAGCGAAAGAACTGGTGGAGCGTCTGGAGGATGAAGAGGAAATGAATGCTGAGCTGACTGCTAAAAAACGAAAACTGGAGGATGAGTGTGCTGAGCTGAAGAAAGACATTGATGACCTGGAGATCACCCTGGCCAAAGTGGAGAAGGAAAAGCATGCCACAGAAAACAAGGTGAGCAAAACTGGAAAAAATAACAATAAAGGCATAAACAGTCTTGATTGCTCGCATACTGCATAAAAATATATATTTAGCTGTAGCAGTTGAAACTCTTTACTGCATCTAACTATAGAGCTTAATTTACAGTTCAGGTAAATCCCTGAAGAGCACTAAGCTATTTCAGTTCTTCATAGGATTCAGAAGCATATTACCAGCAAGAGAAAGTTCTGTTTTCTTCAATCTCAAATAGTAGAAATAATGCATTTTTGGCGTAGATTATTGGGAAGGTTGAGACATAATTGCACACATAGCCAGAGATTTGTGGCTCAGTGGCTAAGACACTGAGCTTGTCGATCAGAAAGATCAGCAGTTCAGTGGTTTGAATCCCTAGTATAGGTCTCCTGCGTGAGCAGGGGGTTGGACTAGATGACCTCCAAGGTCCCTTTCAACTCTGTTATTGTTCTGTTACATTCTCTGTTGACTCATAAAAACCACTATCGAACAAAATCTGGAACTAATATGGTTAGCTTTACACTTTCGTTTAGATTTTCATTCTGCCATGTTATGAATATATCCCTCTAAGCTATCCAATCATATCCTAGGTGAAAAACCTGGTTGAAGAAATGGCTGCTTTGGATGAGATCATTGCTAAGTTAACCAAGGAGAAAAAGGCACTACAGGAAGCCCACCAACAAGCTTTGGATGACCTGCAAGCTGAGGAGGACAAAGTCAATACTCTAACCAAAGCTAAAGTCAAGCTGGAACAGCAAGTGGATGATGTGAGTTAACACATGACAATGGACCATCACAATGGAAGAACTCATGTCTAATCTTATTATGTAGTATGTCATGAATGGACAACCTATTGTGTTATAACTAGTTGCAACCCCATATCCCTTTTTTTAGAAACCCCTGGAGCATTTTTGATACCTATGTCCATTTTTCAATGATGTGCATTTTTTCTACTATTTTATGGTTTTTGTGCTTTCTAGCTGGAGAGTTCTTTGGAGCAAGAAAAGAAGATACGGATGGACCTGGAAAGAGCGAAGCGCAAGCTAGAAGGTGATTTAAAACTAACACAAGAATCTGTGATGGATCTGGAGAATGATAAACAGCAACTTGAGGAGAAACTCAAAAAGTAAGTATGTTTTTCAAAATGGTAAATAGACATTTAGACAACCAAATCAAATACTCTGCTATCTGTTTTATTTTAATTTATTTATTTGTATTCCATAGCGGCAAACACATCCAATACACCTTCCATCTTCTATTTTCCCCACAACAATCCTGTGAGGAGGGTTGGGTTGAAAGAGAGTGACTGGCCCAAAGTCAACAGCTGGCTTTCATGGCTAAGCCAAGACTTGAACTCACAGCCTCCCGCTTTTTAGCCTGGTGCCTTAATCACCAAACCAAACTGGTTCTCTAAATAATGTGCATAAGGAGTGTCCATAAAAGCACCAGCATGCCCACCGTCCCTATTGTAATGTTTCTTCTATTCGTATCTATTTTATGTATCCAATCCATATTTATACTTATTACCTAGTACGTTCTTGACAAATAAATAAATAAAATGTTCTCTTTATAATATTCTTTTTACTTTTACTTTACCATTTACTTTAATGATTTCTTTACACTAATCTAATGGCAGAAGATATTATGAATCAAGTACTGCTATCTAATGTTAATATTTTAATCACTCTTATTCCACCTTAGAACATGGAAGCAATATTAACAGACTAGAAAGAATTATTCTTCTACTGCATTGCCTAAAGCCATCTTGAGAAGATAGCTCTTGTATATGAGGCATTGTTCAAATGCACATGAAAAGAAAAGGAGAGATGCCATAGAGTGTATGTTTTAGAGTTCATAACGATTCACATGATTTGGAAAACAAACATCTGCAAGGATGCCTGTTTCATCGCTACTTTGTAGAAAGATCATTAACAGGAACTGGAGTACATCTCCACCCTAAGATATTTCAGGAAATGTGTTCAGTTTGCTATAAGTAATAATTCAGTTATTAGCAAAAGACACTGTGAACATTTTGCTTGCAGGAGAAATATTCAATTTTGGGCGAATAGCCAAAAGATAATGTTATGCACTACTGATTTCAGAGAAACATAAACACTTGTTGTTAATTAAGACTTGCCTCTCTTGCTTGTAGTGATTTTCCCATTTTCAATTAAAAGTTTCATTCGGATAGGTTAGAAGAATAGAGAAAAGATAAGCATGCTTATCTTTATCTTATCTTATTTAGCATGCATATTTTGCCTTCAATAGAAGCAAGAGGCAAACAGTCTTCCTCTTTGCCCCAGACCTTAAAGTGAATGATTAACATTTATTTATTTATTTATTTATTTATTTATTTATTTATTTATTTATTTATTTATTTTACTTACTTACTTACTTACTTACTTACTTACTTACTTACTTACTTATTTATTCATTTATGACTATCTGTATCTCAGGATTGAACTGTGGAGTCCTTCTTGCTTTCTGACCTTGGTTGTTTGCAAGAGAGCAATAAGAATGTCACAAATTATCACATTAGTTAAAGAATCAAGCATCATGAGTATAAGACGCACAAGTTACATTTATTTATTTTTTCATAGGAAAGACTTTGAAATGAACCAATTAAATTCAAGAATTGAAGACGAACAGATTCTTGGAATTCAGCTGCAGAAAAAAATTAAAGAGCTCCAGGTAAATATATATATAGGTTTAAATGGAGGCCGCAGATGGACCATCTTAGTTGGGTTACTTCAAGGGTTGTCCATAGTACCATAATTTCTATTTTTAGTCCCTCAAAAGCAGTCTGAAGATAGTTTTTTCTTTTGCTGATCTTGCAAGACTGAAAACAATGAGAAAAGGACTGCTTACCTTCCTCAATCAGCTGTTGGTCCTAAAGGGGGAAACAATCCCTCAACCCTACTCCATACAAGAGAAATAAAATAAATTATGAGAACCTTCCTCTGTCCCTATTTAATGCTTTTATGTTAAATCTGATTATATACCAATAATCTGATCAATTATTATACAAGGAGCTGCAAAACTCTGAAGCCACTTTTCCCCGTGAAAGACTTACTAGGACTGAAGAGTCCTTGGTGCTTGTGCACTGATGATTTTACTTAGTTTGGTAATAAACATCTGCAAGAAAACAACAAGCTCAGAGAGCACCAAGGACTCTGACTCAACCTTGAACTATAAATATTTTTTTCTATCAGTACCTACTAGCACTGATGAACTTCAGAATCTGGGGTCATGAAGAACAGAAACAAAATATAATTTTGCTCTAGATTTGGGACATACAATTGGTAATCAGACTCTATATCTTGACTTAGTTACCTTCAGCAATCCTTCATTGTGTGAATGACATCAAAAATTTATTGAACAAATGACTCTTACTATCTTGAAGGGACGCGGTGGCTCAGTGGGCTAAGACGCTGAGCTTGTTGATTGAAAGGTTGGCAGTTCAGCCATTCGGATCTCTAGTGCCACGTAATGGGGTGAGCTTCCATTACTTGTCCCAGCTTCTACCAACCTAGCAGTTCGAAAGCACATAAAAAATGCAAGTAGAAAAATAGGGATCACCTATTGTGGGAAGGTAACAGTGTTTAGTCATGCTGGCCACATGACCACGGAGACGTCTTTGGACAGCGCTGGCTCTTCGGCTTTGAAACTAAGATGAGCACTGCCCCCTAGAGTCAGGAATGACTAGCACAGGGATGAAATGCTCCTGGTTCAGACCGGATCGCCTGATCCGGTAGCGATGGTGGGTGGTGGTTCGGAGAACGGGTAGCAAAAAATCCATGTGCCCCCCCCATGTCCAGCTGAGCTGCATGATCATCCGAGACTTTTTTTTTTATTTTTAAAAGCATTTTTTCGGCTGAAGAGGTTGTAGAAAAAATGCTTTTAAAAGTAAAAAAAAAAGCCTCTGATGATTGCACGGCTCAGTTGGGATCATCAGAGGCTTTTAAAAGCATTTTTTTCTACAACCTCTTCGGCTGAAAAAATGCTCTTAAAAGTAAAAGAAAAAAAAATTGGCCATGCCCACCCAGTCACATTACCCCCCCCCAAGCCACGCCCACAGAACCGGTAGTAACAAATGTTACATTTTACCACTGGACTAGCACATATGTGCGAGCGGAATCTTTACCTTATCTTGTTTAGTTTCAGTTTGCAGGAGCCACAGCCATCATAACAAATGGTGAGAGATTCAGAAAGTTGCAGTTCAGCAACACCTGGAAGGTTCCTTTCCCAGGCATATTGTCATGAATAAAAAGAGACATTAACTGGAAAGGGAGCAATGAAAATGGGATTATAGTAGCAACCGTAACAGGGTGCCATGGCTTTCATTGGAACAAAATTAATTCATTGGAACAAAATAATACAATTGAAAGAAAAGTTGAAGTATTCCCCCCTCTCCACCATATTATTTATGGCAAAAGTCAAAATGGGTAAACATTCCATGTAGCTAATGAGGATTTTAAGTAGTATATTCTAAATATTCTGGTCATCTAGGGTTAATGTGATCCATATGTTGGTGAAAGTCCAGGTAGAAAAGGTATAAGCTGGCAGAAACTGGACAGATTGTTCTGGTAATTCCTATCATTTGTTATCTCCTTACAGGCTCGAATTGAGGAACTGGAAGAGGAGCTTGAGGCAGAACGAGCTGCCAGAGCCAAAGTGGAGAAGCAAAGAGCTGAAGTAGCTCACGAGCTGGAAGAGCTGAGCGAGCGGCTTGAAGAGGCAGGTGGTGCCACAGCCTGCCAAATAGAGCTGAACAAGAAACGTGAAGCAGAGTTCTTGAAGTTACGCAGGGACCTGGAAGAAGCCACCTTGCAGCATGAGTCAACTGCTGCCACCCTGCGCAAGAAGCATGCTGACTCAGCGGCTGAACTGGGGGAGCAGATTGACAACTTGCAGCGTGTCAAACAAAAGCTAGAAAAGGAGAAGAGTGAATTGAAGATGGAAGTGGATGATCTAGCTTCCAACATTGAGTACCTCACAAAGAACAAGGTGAACGATTGAGTCATGTGGAATTCTATTAAAACTTATTGTTTGTGTATTAATGGATGGCAGGGGAGAGTTATTGTGTAGTACATGTCTCGTCTAAGAGCTATCAGTATGGTGAAGAGTTTATTCCTCCCACAGTTGCTACTTTGGGCTTTGTGTCAACCCTTTGCACTATGCTAGTTCTTGCTTTTCTGCTTAGACCAATCTTTCTCAAGCTTGGCAACTTAATGTGTGGATTTCAACTCTCCAAATTCCCCAGCCAATCATGACAGTTGACACAGTCCCTTTGGAACTGGGTACATGTGAAGACATACATAATTCTAAGAATATATAGGTACTTTTGAAATGTTAAAAAGCGTATCTTTTGTTGAAATGACAAAGTATTGAGAAAATGTGTCTTCTCTTATCAAGTTTCTAGATTTAATGGCTGTAAAAAAAACAGCAACCCAGCAGACCTGGTAAAAAAAGTGTCATAATAGTTAAATAATCTCAGAATACAGACTGAAAACAGATTTTGGCTCAACATAATTTTAGCCAGAAATAAATTTTAACTAGATTTTAGCTAAAAATAAATCTGTTTTTGTTTTTTTAAAAACATCAATTGACATTAATTATAGAAATTACAAAATTTAATTTTTCCTAATAAAGAATTGTTACGATAAAAAAAAGATGACAGTCTTCCCTCAGTTTGGAAGTATAGATAAGATTTATTTAATGCAGAAATCAGGTACTATATTTCAATAACTGTTCTTCCCACTTTCTGTATGCCTTATCTTCACTGCATTCCAGTAGTATCTTTTATTGATCAGGACTCTGAATGACTGATGGAAAAAAACAGTAGCTAACTCTTCTTAGGATGCCTCATAGATCCCAGTTTTGCATTCAATTGGGAAGCTTACAAACCTATCATATGAATATCACACCAAAGCCTGAACCTTGGAGTAGAATTCTTAATCTAGACTGGACCTGTTCCTTGATTATTTAATTCTTAGACAATTCTAGGATGTATCCAAACCTTTCTTCCTGTTACAGGCAAATGCTGAGAAACTCTGCCGGACATATGAGGATCAGCTAAGTGAAGCCAAATCAAAAGTGGATGAGCTCCAGCGTCAGCTGGCTGAAGTGAGCACCCAGCGTGGGAGATTGCAGACTGAAAGTGGTATGTTATAGAAACACTTTTTAGACCCTGGGAAAAGACTAAGCTGTCAAATCTATCAGAGCTGTTTTTACCCTTGAGTAGCACCAGAAATGGGTCTCTCCAAAATGAAATCAATCTAGTAATATAGCATTGATCATTGATATCTTATGGCATATGAAGAACTAAAGCTGCTGCAGAACATTGAGGAAATGTGATTTGGTACAAAGAAACAAACAAACAGACAAACAAAACAGGGAATTTGAGCAATTCCAGAAGTGGGTAGAAGAGGGAATTTCAGCCACTGTGATCTGTCATGGAAATGCTACCTTTTGAAATTATCAAAGGTATATGAATGTTGTTCTCTCTTGAATGTATGATTAGCAGAAGTTGTGCAGAAATCTTTGTGTATTGGATTTGAGCATAATGTGTGGTTTCTCAGCCATAGAATGGCTCACTGATGGAGGTTTTTAGGGGAGAAAATTATATAAAATACAATTGCCGGCCATCTTGGCCAGCATGATTAATAATGAAAACTATTGTATTTCATTAACCTCTGGGAGGGCATATAAATTATCCACATTTGCTGTAATTGTTTCATTAACCTTTCTTAATGATTAGTTAAGAAAAGATGAATTATTAACTGATCTGAAAGCATACTCATAAATGCCGGGATGATAATAGCAAACATGGCAGAGTAACCAAGAACCATGTACAATATAAGAACAGCTTTGATTCCATATCAACTATTTTCACTTTCTTGAAAAAATATAGCTTTCGGTTTTTCTGTTGAACTCACAGAATATCCATTGGAATTCAGGACCAATCCTGAAATTTACTGTGTCTATCTATGATACCAAAGCAATTGAAAGCTATGAATACTATGATGAAAAATTTGATCATGATATGTATATTTTTTTTTACAAAATCAGGTGAACTTAGTCGGCTCCTTGAAGAGAAAGAATCTCTTATAAACCAGCTGAGTCGGGGCAAAACTTCCTTTACCCAAACCATTGAGGAACTCAAAAGGCAGCTAGAAGAAGAGACCAAGGTGATTATTTAAACATATAGATATTAGATCTGTGGTAATGAGCAGCTGATTTTCCTGGATTCAGACTGGTGTTGTTAAAAACCAGGCCAAATCTCAGAGTATATGAATTAAGCAATAAAATGAAGGGTTTCTGTCTAGATATAGTATATTTTTACTCCATTACTAAAGCTGTATACTACTTTGAAATTTAAGAATGGGGATTTCTGAACAGATTGTACAACTTGAGGAAGATTTGCAATCTTGCCTTGTCATTTTGAACCAGTTGCCAGGAATCAGTTGCCCCCAGAGATAAGGAGAATCCAAGACCTTAGTGCCTTCCGCCGTGCCCTTAAAACCCACCCTTAAAACCCACTTTTTCCAGCAAGCCGGGCTGGCTTAAGAAGAAATCTTAAATGTTTTAATTGGTTTGTATTTTTAATTTTGGGCCAAATTTATATATATTTTAATTGTTTTTAATATTTGTATTTCATGTTTTTTAATTCTGGCTGTACACCGCCCTGAGTCCTCAGGGAGAAGGGTGGTATATAAATTTAAAATAAAATAAAAAATTTTTTAGAAATTGTTTTGCATAGCCACATTAAGACACTATAGATTCTGATTGCTTACCACATATGCACTTATTTTTCTCCTTTGCTGATATCATTCACATGATTTTTAGCGAGTAAGCAAGAATCAGCAATTCTTGATGAGACAAAATGGCTCTATAAACATTGGGCAGGTGCCTTCTCATCTCAAAGCCAAGATATAGAATAGCCAAATTCTCATTGATCTGAAAATGTGGAAGAAAAAAAAAATCAAGAGTTAAAAAATTACAGTGTTTTTTTAATTGTATGCTTCCCAAAGTCATATTTGGGATATGGGTGATTATATAAATGTGAAACAAATATGTGAACAGCTAGGTATATGCATGGTCTTTGATTTCTGTGTTCAGCAGAAACCAGATCTGTGTACTGTACACATCCATATTCTTCTCATGAACCATGGCTATCCTAACAAATAATTACCTTCATAGAGTTATTATGGGAGTGAGCAGCATATACATACAATAAATAGGCTGCAGCAAGCCAGGCCTCAATGCTTGTCAAATCCCATTTTTATTTGGCATGGAGAGAGTTGGAAGCTTGATAAAGAATTGATTTTATTTTAATCCCAACAATTTTCAACTTTTCAGTCCAAGAATGCTTTGGCTCATGCTTTGCAAGCATCCCGCCATGACTGTGACCTTCTGCGGGAACAGTATGAAGAGGAGGTGGAAGCCAAAGGGGAGCTCCAGCGCTCTTTGTCCAAGGCCAATGCTGAAGTGGCCCAATGGAGGACCAAATATGAAACAGATGCCATCCAGAGAACAGAGGAATTAGAGGAAGCCAAGTGAGTTCCTGCAATAGTCATTCACACTAAATATATTCTGGGAAACAAAATTCTATGATAGAGGGAAGCACTTTGGTATCACAGAGATGCCTATTAACATTTTTGCAGTGAAAGCTGGGGAAAATTCCATATTAGGACTTGTTGCAGGACACCATGCAATGGAAGTAGTAGGGTTTTTGAAGTTTTGTCTCCAGTGTGTGCACCAATACCTTCCCTATCTAACCAGGATGATTGGCAAATTTCAGGAAGAAGCTGGCCATCCGTCTACAAGAGGCAGAGGAGGCTGTGGAAGCAGCCCATGCCAAATGTTCATCTCTGGAGAAAACCAAGCATCGTCTTCAGACTGAAATAGAGGATCTGTCCATTGACCTGGAGAGAGCTAACTCAGCTGCTGCTGCGTTGGACAAGAAACAACGCGGTTTTGACAGGATCATTGCTGAGTGGAAACAGAAATATGAGGAAACACAAGCAGACCTGGAATCTTCTCAGAAAGAGTCCCGTAGCCTGAGCACAGAACTTTTCAAGCTCAAGAATGCCTATGAAGAGTCCCTGGAGAATCTAGAGACTCTCAAGCGTGAGAACAAGAATCTGCAAGGTATCAACAAGGCTGTATCACTTTTAAATGGCACAGTATAACTTTTTAATAATTATCCTTAAGGCAGAAGCAGAAATGTAGAACAAGGCCAGAAGATAGAAACAGTAGAAGAAATAAATCAGCTTTCTAGCATACTTTTTGTAAAGTAAGCCAATATGTTTATCCATACCTAATTCAGCATGGCTCAGGATTTTGATTGTTATACATTCAATTCTAGGTCATTTATTACTTGACTGTAATAAATTGGCTTCTATACAAGAAGGCAGAGAAAAGTTTAAAACAAAGATGGTTCTTTCTGAGATGATTTTGAGGTGATTTGCTTTCTGAAAAATAGTGGAAAATTGTCCTTTTGCAATTTGAAAGTGTATAGACATATTTCTGTGGTACAATTTCAGGGGGAAGGCTGCAAAGATGGGATTGGGAGAGATTACAGGTGGATTGTCCATTAAATACCATATTTTTCAGAGTATAAAATGCACCTTTTCCCCAAAAAAAGAGGGTGAAAATCTGGGTGCATCTTATACTCCGAACGTAGCCCTGCCCAGCTTCTCAAACAGAGGTTTCAGATGCTGAAAAAAGCATCAGAAACGAAGCTTCAGGAAAAAAGCCCCCAGACAGAGCTTCAGAAAAAAAAACAAACCCCAAACAGAGCTTCAGAGGCTTTTTTTTCTGAAGCTCTGTTTTGGAGGCTTTCAGAAGCAGGAAAAAAAGTTTTTTCTGAAACAGAGTTTCAGAAGTTTCAGAGGCAGAAAAAAAAGCAAAAAAAAAAAAAAAAAAGCAAGGCACAGAGCTCACAACCAAGGAACCTGTTGCTAAAATTCACCTCTGGGAACAGCTGATTGGGGGTATTGCAGGAGGCTGATCCACCTGCCAATCAGCTTTTTTCTTATTTTCCTCCCCAAAAACTAAGGTGCGTCTTATACTCAGGTGTGTCTTATGCTCCGAAAAATACGGTAGATAAATAAATAGATAATCTATTTATCCCAACCATTTAATCAAAAAATGAGTAGAAAATTGATAGGCCAGTATTTTTAAAAATGTGTAAGTCTGATATCAATATTGTAGCTCCATAACATGTTGGATAATGTTAGACTGATGTTCTGTTCCCAGATAACCATGTCACCTTGGAACAGTTGCCAACTCTAGATGGGTATAATTCATAGGACTTTAAATAAAAGGAGAAATGCTTTGCGCTCCTTGGAGCAAGTTGTGTGTGCATGAAAATCTTACATTCAACCAACTATATAAAACCAATCCAGCCAATAAACCTAATGTCCAGAGTTTTAGAATAAGTATTTTACTCTATTTCCCTATTTTGATGTGACTTTTGACTGCTTTTTCCTAGACATTAATAATTATTAAGGAAAACACTTAGATATACTAGTTTGGTGATTGTTTAAGTGACTCTATTAATACAAAATGTACAAATACAGGTAGGAATAAATGGTAGCATTCTATAAATCAGTGAATGGAGCATAATGTAATCAAAACCTTCTATTACCCCTAATGACGTGAGATTGGTCTGATGGGATAACTGAGTTTAACCTTATAGGCTAGAAGTTAAATTTAATTTTGAATATAGTAGAGAATGCAAACAATAGGTGGGGGTTACCCAGGTTTCCATACTACAAATAAATGTATATTTGTTCTGGTCTCTTCAGAGGAGATAATGGACCTAACTGATCAAATTAGCATGAGTGGAAAAACCATCCATGAACTTGAGAAACTGAAGAAAGGCTTGGAAACTGAAAAGAGTGACATCCAAGCAGCCTTAGAGGAAGCTGAGGTAAGCTCTTGAATGATTGTGATAAGCCTTGTTATTATTTAAACTTGATATATCAGCAGATATTATGCTTTACTTGGTTTGGATTTAACATATTGAATATATTCAATGCTGTGATCTGTAAACCATGGATTATGATTTAACATAGTATGTGAACCAGCTTGTTGTGCCATAGTCAATAAATATTTAAATGTGCTCTATATACCAAGCAATATGAGTAGTATCCAAATCACTTCCCAACTACAATGGAGGCTGCAAAGAATTGGGTGTGAAGGGAATAGTGTAATATGAGGTAAAAATGAAATAGGAATTGACGGAACTGTGAAAGTGTACATTGGCTTGTATAAACATAATGAAGAGTAAGTGGCTTGCTTTTACATCAACCAGTTTGTTCAGCAAGTCATGTTTTTTTTTTTTTTTAAATATGATTTAAGTAGAGCAATTATCAAATTGTCCAAGAACAATAGTCTGGCTGTTGCCTTTTGCTACTTGTTCCATGTATCTTTGATCCAGTATTTAAAACCCAATAAATAAAACCACAGTAGAAGCAGGCCATTTATCTGGGTCTGGCATGGCATCTAGAGCTCAGAAAAATGTATTTCTAGATTCTCCAAAAGATCTCCAAATACCTGAGAACTATTGGATATTATAAAGATGTTTGCCTAATTCACAGATAATATGGTGTCCAGTTGTTTGGACTTTAATTTTAATTTAATTTTCATCAATCACAACCATAGCTTTGTCAATGGAAGTCATTATGAGAATTGATCTCTTTAAAAAATAGAAAAAAATTAAAAAGGAAGACAATGATCAGGATATAGCACATTGAAGGAAAGCGAACATCTATTGAGATTTATCACTATTTATATTTTTTGTGACTTAAGGGAGCCCTGGAACATGAGGAGAGCAAGACGCTGCGCATCCAATTGGAGCTGTCCCAGATCAAAGCTGATGTTGATAGGAAGCTGGCAGAAAAAGATGAAGAGTTTGAAAATTTAAGGTAGAAATATGACATATTGGAGAATCTGTAATATACTTTATGGGATGAATTGTAGCGGTATTATCTTCTGAGATTTTCATGACAAGTGAGGAAATCTACTTTCAGAGGCACTGTTGAAAAAGCAAGGCCACATTGATGGTTCAGTGTTACTGGGCTAATGAATTAAATCATCTTCTTTTAATGATCCCATAATCCCTTGCTCATGTCATGAGAATGGATGATGGTCGGATTCCGAAAGATCTCCTGTATGGAGAATTAGTGCAGGGAAAGCATCTCAGAGGGAGACCACAGCTGCGATATAAGGATATCTGCAAGAGGGACCTAAAGGCCCTGGGAATGGACATTAACAACTGGGAAACCTTGACCTCCGATCGTTCAGCTTGGAGGCTAAAGACGCAGCATGGCCTTCTCCAATTCGAAGAGACACTTGTTCTGCAGGCTGAGGCAAAGAAGCAGTCCCGGAACCAGCGAAATCTGGGGGCTGGGCAGGGAACAGAATGTCTCTGCCCTCAGTGTGGAAGGGATTGCCAGTCTTGAATTGGCCTTTTTAGTCACACTAGATGCTGTTTTAGGACCTCTTTCCAGAGCACGATACCATAGTCTTTTGAAACTGAAGGATGCCAATGAATCTCTTGCAGGATGGAGTCTAGGCAACTGAATGGAGCCGAATATTTACTGGCTGGATGCCCTTCCTTCGCTAATGTGGAGTTTTGTTCAGCAGATATATTCTCATGGTGCCCAGAGAGAAAAATATCTGCCTTTACCTAGGACTGAACTCACAGCCTCCTTATTGTGAGGCGAGAGCTCCACCTCTAGGCCACCACACCACTCAGGCTAATGAATTAAATGCCTCATACTAAAACACTTTTTTCTTACAGGCGTAATCATCAGAGAACCATGGATTCTATGCAGGCCTCATTGGATGCTGAAGCCAAAGCCAGAAATGAGGCTACCAGGTTGCGAAAGAAAATGGAGGGAGATCTCAATGAGATGGAGATCCAGCTGAGTCATGCCAATCGCCAGGCTGCTGAGTCTCAGAAACTGGTGCGGCAGCTCCAATCCCAATTGAAGGTCTGTCTTAATCATTTTTGAAGTAAATGTAATCTATCGGCCAGCCGGGGCTCTCTTTCCCAATCTTCTCAACGATTATCACCTTATATTAAAAGATGGCACTTTTATTTGGAAGTATCATGTGTTATTATTTTTCTGTTTTCAAGGGCTGCAGAGAATGCAAAACGTTGTGCAGTGATAGCAACTGTGGGATAGAACTAAAACTGTTGGCATTTTTTTTTCCTATGGGGAATTAGTTTCTCTCCTCAGGCTGGATTTATTAGCTAGGAACTTAATGTACTGTTAAGAATGTTATTTCGGTTCCAAGAAGCTAAGTGCAATAGAAGGCCAGGCGTTTGTCATGAGGTGGTGTGATTTTGGGACACTCTGGTGGCTGGAAATCTTTATATGGCCCAAAAGCTGCAGGTTGCTCTTTCTTTGTGTTCACTATTGGGAATCATTGTTTGACATCTTTAGCGGTTTGTTGAGTTTTGCAAAACAACTTTTATTTTTTCTTGTGTTAAAACTGACTTCTCTTGATACGACCCATAGGATTTGCAGATTGAGCTGGATGACACTCTACGCTATAACGATGATCTGAAGGAGCAGGCAGGTGCCTTGGAGAGGCGTAACAACCTATTGCTGGCTGAAGTGGAAGAGCTGCGGGCAGCCTTGGAACAGGCAGAACGTGGAAGGAAATTGGCTGAACAGGAGCTTATAGAGGCAACAGAAAGAGTCAATCTATTACACACCCAGGTGAGCTGGAGAATGTAATTTCAAGCAGGGATAACAACTATTGGAATCAGTTCAAGATGGGAAGCAAAAGTGGGAGCATTTTCATGGTTTACTGTTTTCTTCCCAACCAGAACACAAGCCTAATTAATCAGAAGAAGAAGATGGAGACAGACATTTCACAGCTGAGCACTGAAGTGGAAGAGGCAGTGCAAGAATGTCGAAATGCTGAAGAGAAGGCTAAAAAAGCCATCACTGATGTAAGGGGCCTAAAGAGTGGGGGTGGGAATATTGTGAGGGCTACACTGATTTTTCATCTAGGGCTTAGGCCTTTATTGGTGTGGCAGTTTCCTTCCCCAGTGTTTCCCAGAATTCTTTTATATGGAGCTTAATAGCAAATACACAATGAAAATGGGTATTTGAGTAGCATCTAGCAACTTTTGTTAATGGGGGAATTCAACATTTGACAATATCTACCGGTAATATCTGGCAGCAGGATCAGTTACTAGTACTGACCTTGTAAGCCATTTTATCTCAAGCTAGCGCCCTCCAGATCAGATAGCTGTAATTTTCATAATCAGTCACAGTAGCTAGTTTTAATGCTACATGAATGTTTTGGCTGTTGTCCCTATCAGGCAGCCATGATGGCAGAGGAACTGAAGAAAGAACAAGATACAAGTGCCCATCTGGAACGGATGAAAAAAAATATGGAACAGACGATCAAAGACCTACAAATGAGGCTGGATGAAGCCGAGCAGATTGCCCTTAAAGGGGGCAAGAAGCAGATTCAGAAACTGGAAGCCAGGGTTAGTATTTCAGAGAACATCTACTTTTTCTGGCAAGAACCTAATTTCTTGTGGATTATGCGGCCAATGTTCCCAATAAAACTAGACACGATGGGTTATTAAAATTTTGGATTCAGTGAAGTCTGAAACCATTTAAAGTTAAATAAAATCATATTCGCAAGGCTCTGCTGTAGAGGCAATAATCCCTCATCATGTTGTAGTCCATTAATATCCTACGTAGATTTCCAGTGCTTTGTGAAGCATGACAAACAATATAGTTCTTTGTTTTCTGAGGCAAGGAAGAAGGCAAAAGAACTTAACTGTAATGTTTGGTCTTGTTCAGGTACGAGAATTAGAAGGTGACCTGGATTTAGAACAGAAGAAGAATGCAGAGAGCCAGAAGGGCATTCGCAAGTATGAGCGAAGAGTCAAAGAATTGACTTATCAGGTACAAGTTTCATCATCTTCATGTTGAATCCTCAGATCCATTTTCATTAACACACAGGGTGAAACCAACAAACACGTAGGGGGAACATTATACAAAAGTGAAACTTCCCTTTTTGCCTGCAGATATTCCACCATTTTAGCAGTAATTCAAAGTTCTTCAAGAGATAGCAAACACCAAGATTGCTTCATTTGGAATGAGAGCAAGAAGTATTGTCCTCACTCTAATTTAGATTTGTGATTTTATTTCACAGACAAAACTGATAGGCATCATATCATGTCATCACTTTGGCTACATGATTATCAATTGGTTTGCACAGCAAACAAGATCAATTCTCCTTTAAAGCAATTGACCAAAACACCTAAGTTTGAGTAAATAGTACAAGAAACCAAGAGTTAGGGCTAGAGATCTTTCACAAAATTCTCTTATTGTATTCCCAAATCAAACTATATTTTTCCCATTTCATCTTCTCCAGTACATTTCTATCAATTAAAGGATAGCTCAGTAATAGGAATCAAATTTGAATACTTTGCTCAAAATAGCAATAGCAATAGCACTTAGATTTATATACCATTTCACAGTGCTTTACAGCCCTAAGTGCTTTACAGAGTCAGCATATTGCCCCCAATAATCTGGGTCCTAAATGGGCACCTATGTATTTATAGAAAAATCAGGAAAGAGGAGGACATATTTCCAACAAGTGAAAGAGCGCTTCAGAAATATCTTCTATAGAATATGAGTAGAATCTCAGTTTAACTGCACAATTAGAGGGAGGGTATGTCTATTAAATCCAACTATCTGTTAAACTTTTTGCATTAAATCCAAATATACACCCTTTGAATGAATTTATTTGTGTAATTACATAACTGATGTAAAATGACATCACTTGCAATAAAACAAAACCTCAAATTAATGGATGAGAGGGGGTGGAGTTAAAATGAAAAAAAAAAGCCCATTATTTTGGAAATCCACTAAACTAGGGATAAACCATATCACATTTATCAGAAAACTCACCCTTTTATACAGTCATGTGGTAGTAGTAACATATATGGGATGAACCAAATATCTGATTATTACATTTCAGACTGAAGAGGACCGGAAGAACCTGGCACGAATGCAGGAACTGATTGACAAATTGCAGAGCAAAGTCAAGAGCTACAAGCGACAGTTTGAGGAGGCAGTAAGTAGGGATTCCAGCACTTTAAAAGGCATCAAAATGTTAGTCCTAGTCAATTCCAGTTTCCTTTGATTCTGTAATAACCCTTAATGGTCTATTTGTGTCCGCATTACTCCTGTACCATAACTCTAATTTAAAAATACAATTCAAAAATGACATTTTAGAAATACAGACTTCTCCAACGTACTAAGGAAGACCAATTCCCTTGGCTCTACACCTTATCTCGCTGGATTACACAGGCATTAGTTTCCCTACTGCTATCAAAAATATGCCAAAACTTTTGTGTGCCTAGAACATTGATTGCCATAATTCCCCAGTTATTCAGTCTAGCCATGAATCTTTCCCATATCTGGTTCCACTACATCAAATTCCATCTTCTATTCATAGGAGCTACAAGCCAACTCCAACCTGGTCAAATACCGCAAAGTGCAACATGAGCTTGATGATGCTGAGGAACGAGCAGATATTGCAGAGACACAAGTGAACAAGCTGCGTACTCGCACTAGGGAAATTCCTCTGAAGGTGAGAACAATATTGCCTGAGGTAAAGCATGGTAATTATCTCCCCACCAGTCTCATTTCTTAATGGATAAATTGTTGGGGAACACACATTAGCTCTTTATGTGATGTTATTTCATTGGCTCCACTAAAGGCTACTCAGCCATAATTGATGTATAAATCAGGGAATAGACAGGAGGAAGGATGGCTAAGACATAGAGCATGAGAAAGATTAATGTGTTCTCTGTTTTTGCTTGCTTAGTCAAAAATAATTGTCTCCAAGCATGAAAACATAATGCATCACAGGGTTTGAGCTTTCAACAATGTAATGTGTAATCAGAATACAATAATTATAAACATCATTATATTCTGATGTGGAAGATCCAAGCCACAAAACAATGGAAAATACTTTTCACAAAAGAGGGAGATGGGGCTCTGAGAAGCTATCTGTAGCAATCAAATCTGATAACTTTTTTTTTTATTGTTAACAGCATGAAGAATAAGAAACTCCAGTATAACGTATCTTCGATGAATATGTCTATGTAATGGCTGCAACAGTCATTTCTGTCTCTGTAGTGAATAAACTCTAGTGCTCATGATGGAAAGTGTGTAACTTTTTTTGAGAATATTCAACTGTAGAATGTCTTCCTATGAGGCTTTTTAAAAATGTCTTACATCTTATTTACGGACAAACCTCAAATGTGGAAAGAGTCTGGCAGCATCTTTCGAGATTAACATTATGACTTGCATAAAAAAAAAAAATCTCTGGTGTAACCAGACTTTCAGAATCTGGCTATCACAGCCTAACACAACTCTCTTGCTACAATGATGAATATTCAACAGTCTCAGAGACCTGCTGCTATAGATAAATTCCTGATTGATCTACCTTTTTTTACAAACAAGCTCCAACTGCAGTTCTTTGAATGATATTTCTCGAGTCATGTTTTAAAATAGAATTCTTTATTCCATTTAATACATTTATGTTGTGTTAGTAAGTCAGTATTAATCTGGGCAGCATGAACATTAATTTGTGTGAAATAATTAAAATGTCCAGAAACATTTGCTGGCTAGGGGAGTCACCTTTTTGCCACAAAACAGTTCCATTCCTTCAGCGATTTCCCATTTTTTTCCCAGCCACATTTAAATGTGATTTGCCAGTTATTGCTCCTCGACACAATTTATATTTAATCCAAGGCTACTGTAGTTTCTCATCATACACAAAGAAGATCTACAGCAGTAGCTGTGGAAGAGGAACGTGGGCAATCAGGTTTCCCTATAAGGAACCAAAAGGCCAATAATGCACCCTGAGCCAAAACCTCCAACCCAACTCTTTGGAATTGACTATACTGAAAAGCCAGAAATAAATACACAGCATGATAGGTAAATCATCCTCAGAGTAGCTAAGTGTTTTTTTTAGTGAGAGCAGTCTCACTGAAAGTCAAATTGATTAGTAAAAAGAAGGATGGTCATTCAAAGGCAAGACATATGTATGAATTAGGTACTTAGAATTCATTTTTGTAGACTATGGCCATACTGTGCTGATGTTTCAATTCTAATCAAAAGGAACCCACAGGCATTTGAGTCTTGAATGTTTACTACAATTACAGAGTCACTACAATGACCTAAGATTGAGAGTGAGGTTGTCGTAGAAGCAACTGACTCTCTCAAAACTTGTCCCAAACTAAAATTCTTGAATGACATTCTCCAAAGGCATCAGATGTATAACGGAGTACAGGACCACTGGGGAAGCCAGTTTAAACATACCCTTAAGAACTTCCTTTAAAGCAAGATACATGATTTACTGCAAAGTTTCCATTTTATTTTTGACAAGCCATAAAGGATAAAACAATAGGGATAACCTTAATAAAGTGCTGTTTTGTTCAGGTAATAGATTCACAATTAGACAATTACGGAGCAGTCAGGCTTTCTTGACAGGGCTCTTATCATTAAAAAAAGTGGACGCTGTCTTTTCCTCAGTAAATACCTTAATAATTTCGTATGCAAATCAACCACAAGAGATCTGTTATTTCTATTACTTTTGCCTAAAAATAAGGTGCAATAGCGCATGCAGAGCAAATGTGAATGGGGAAATAGCTGATCAACTACTAGTATATCTTACTTTCAAGTATTGTAGGTTTCATGGAGATTTCTTGCTATTACATTTCTAATTACATTTCTAATGGCCAATTCTAATCAAAACTTTACCCTTTGAAGGATAAATATTTATCAAGGTATCTTCTTGATATTTTTAACTTGAGGCTTTTCAGGGATCTATTCTGTTTAAGGTAAACTGCTATAAATTGTAAATGCATATAAAAGAATAGTTGAAAGTTTAAGAACAAAAAAGGCTGTTCTAATGCTTCATAAATTCCATTAAGTGCCTGAGCACAATGTTGTAATGAAGCTTTTATTTAAAAAAAAAAGTTTCTGGAATCAAACACCAGCTGTCTTCCAACTAACTTGTTTAAACACTAGCAGTTACAACAGCAAGTTCCATATTTACTGAATAATTCACCCCATATGAAATACAAGTATCAGTAGTAGATTAGACAACTTCCAGTTACTATTACACATTAGGAACAATATATATTATATATATTGTTCTGGTGTGTGGGCACATACACATCAGAACGGATGGTGCTAATTCTGTCATTTTAGCTGATGCCTCTGTTTCCAGAATGCAAAGGTTCAGAGTACACCTTTCTGTTCAACAGTAGGTTTTATATTCAGCAAAAGCAATACAGTATTGTGGAAGAAAACTCCATTTGCATTGTTTATTAACAAAATGGCCAGACTGCAGAATTTAGAAAAAAAATGTACAAATTTTTAATTTATTTGCTCTCCTTTCCTTTTTTGTCTATTAGATTTACAGATACAATCAAATGGAACAATAAAAAGAAAAAGGAGATGAAAAGGAGATTTGAAAGCATTGTAAAATTGTTAAAATGTTTCAAAAATATTTTGATATAAATCTATATATTAGACTAATATTTAATCTTTTTAGGAGTGGTTAAATTCACATTTCTTAAATCAGGCAGAAATTATTGTATTCTTTAATTTACAATTTGATTAATACTGGTTACTGTTAATTATTTCATGAATTATTTCAGAATTTTAATATTCTGAAAACTATACATAGATTTATATCAATATCATTTGGAAATTTGTTTGGTTAATTTTACAAAGCTTGTAAGTAAAATCTTTCAATTTCCTTTGGGTTCTTTTAAGTCTTCCTTGTTTTTCCACTGATTGTATCTGTAAACCTAATAAACAAGCAAGCAAACAAATAAGGACAGGGAAAAAAGCCAACTACTTCCATCACTGCAATATATACCTGTTCTAGACAGCACTGTAAAAGTCAATTGAAGACAAATCCACAGACCAGAGAGAGATACTTCTGAATGTAATAACAGTGAACCAAAGAGAATGGGACAGTTTAGTAGGAAACATTTCTAAAATCATTTGCAGAGAAAAAGGACACGCCATCATTTTTACGTATTTAAAAGTGAATTGCACACACAATCCTCTTGAAATGCAAAACAAAAAAAAAAAGATGTGAAAAATCAGGAGTCAACTTTTTAGGATGACTTAAGAGTGGCTGGTATACCTTAGATGTGCTCATAAAACCAGCTTGTTTCAATGACATAGGAAATTACCTCTCCTTTTAACTTCTAATTTGGGTTACCAGAAGGAAAATCACAGCTAACCCTTGCATATTGGAATGATCCCACCTACCAAGCTCAAAGGCTTCTAGTCATAACGAGCATGGAAAAGTGGACTTTTTTGCAGACAATTCCAAACAGTATGCAGATTTCCCTGAATATGTGATGCCTTTCAAGTTTGTGAAATCCTGCTCTTTAAAGAGGGCGGTGGGGCAAGGGGAGAAAATACATTAAGATAGTAATATTCCATAGTTCCAAGTTTGTGCACACAGCATATCCCTGAAAATCCAACGTCTGCAAGTTTCCCTCTGAGGTATTGTCCACTGGAAGTGAGAACCGGTGGAGTTACTCTTCGGTGAAGTCTCTGTCAATCTCCATGTACGCCTCATCAATGTAGCTAAGTATGGCACAAGGTGATGTCTGATCCGTACTAAGCAGAACAGACACAGTCTCTTTCCAATAGGAAAAACTAATACATGAACTCTGTGAAGGGAAAAGAAAGAAAAGTAAGCACAAACAAAGCAAATGTCTCTGGACTATAGCTTGCTAGTAGTACAAATGGGGTTCTATATGCTCTTGAAAAGGATCTGGAAGCTTCAGCTAGTTCAAAATATGGCAGCCTGCCTAGTTTTATGCAAGTCAGATTTGCACATGTGCCATCTCTCTTGCAGGAACTGCATGGGTTGTGGATTTGCTTGTGGATCCAATTCAAAGTGCTGGTTATTACCTTTAAAGCCCTACTTGGCTTGGGGTCAAGGTTATTTGAAGGGCTATATTTTCCCAGTTACATCAGGGTATAGTTGGGAAGCAGGATATTTTACAGCTCACCCTCAGGAGGTCTACCTAATGGGGCCAAGAAAAGAGCCTTTTCTGTGATAGCTCCCTCTCTGTGGGAGGGAGTCTTATCTCTGAAGAGATAAGACTGGCCTCCACCTTGATATTCTTCCAAAAGGCCTAAAAACCTTAATTTGCCAAAGGGCCTGGGAACCCATCAAATGGTTTGTTTTTCTGCTGCCAGGGGAGTGCGGGATATTGTATTTTGTGCTTTTTCCCTGTTAAGCTGTCTGGAGTCTATATGAGTGAATTGGGCAGTCATCTAAATTTCCTAAATAAATACACACTTTAACATGCCATCAACATCTCATTGCTAGTTTTTGAAGGTGCCACTAAATATTTTGAGTTGATATTGTAGTACATATGCAATTGCCCCCACCCCCACCACAACAGTAATGAAAAATGCTCTGTAGAAATGTTTAGCCCCTTTTTGAAGGGAAGTGTTGAAGGGTTATTTTGAGGTACAAGAGATGTAGGAACTGTTAAAACATAACCCACCAAACTGATCTCGGGCCTCCAAAAGTCCATTAAAAATTGGATCAAAAATTAGCAATTTGCCACCAAATGTTTGGAGACTCAATCTTGTTAGGTTGGGGTGTTACAGGAATTCATCAACAATTCATCACCCTACTGTTAACCTGATCTCCAAGAAAACCAGATGCTATAGAGAATCCAGATCAAAACACTTTCACGTATACATTAACCCAGGGAGCAGGGCACTGGTGTAGTTTAGAGCAATTTCAAGATCTTTATTGACTGAGTTTGCACAATCAAAACTTGCTTTGGGCTTTGTTTCTTCTCTTACCTGTGGAAACCTACAGTGGGAAGCTGCAATATTACTATAACCTACCACATAAAATTTAATGCCTAAAAATGGTATATATTTTGCCAAAATATCATCCCATGGGGAAAAAAATGTTTTATTCATTAGGGATCACAGAACTTAATTTATTTTTTAAGGTGCTGCAGAATTACAAATTTTGAGAACCCCTGGTGTAACCCATTCTACATTAGGAATATTTTACACCCTGATGATACAGATATTGCCAGAGAATTTGGTCCAGTAGACAAAATAGACTAAAAATGGTTGAGAAAATACAGGG